TCTTCAAATCCTGATCCAATAGAACTTTAGCTCCTCCAGCTTACTGTGATCTCTTCAAATCCTGATCCAATAGAACTTTAGCTCCTCCAGCTTACTGTGATCTCTTCAAATCCTGATCCAATAGAACTTTAGCTCCTCTAGCTTACTGTGATCTCTTCAAATCCTGATCCAATAGAACTTTAGCTCCTCCAGCTTACTGTGATCTCTTCAAATCCTGATCCAATAGAACTTTAGCTCCTCCAGCTTACTGTGATCTCTTCAAATCCTGATCCAATAGAACTTTAGCTCCTCCAGCTTACTGTGATCTCTTCAAATCCTGATCCAATAGAACTTTAGCTCCTCCAGCTTACTGTGATCTCTTCAAATCCTGATCCAATAGAACTTTAGCTCCTCCAGCTTACTGCGATCTCTTCAAATCCTGATCCAATAGAACTTTAGCTCCTCCAGCTTACTGTGATCTGTTCAAATCCTGATCCAATAGAACTTTAGCTCCTCCAGCTTACTGTGATCTCTTCAAATCCTGATCCAATAGAACTTTAGCTCCTCCAGCTTACTGTGATCTGTTCAAATCCTGATCCAATAGAACTTTAGCTCCTCCAGCTTACTGTGATCTCTTCAAATCCTGATCCAATAGAACTTTAGCTCCTCCAGCTTACTGTGATCTCTTCAAATCCTGATCCAATGGAACTTTAGCTCCTCCAGCTCACTGCGATCTCTTCAAATCCTGATCCAATAGAACTTTAGCTCCTCCAGCTTACTGTGATCTCTTCAAATCCTGATCAAATGGAACTTTAGCTCCTCCAGCTTACTGTGATCTCTTCAAATCCTGATCCAATAGAACTTTAGCTCCTCCAGCTTACTGTGATCTCTTCAAATCCTGATCAAATGGAACTTTAGCTCCTCCAGCTTACTGTGATCTCTTCAAATCCTGATCCAATAGAACTTTAGCTCCTCCAGCTTACTGTGATCTCTTCAAATCCTGATCCAATAGAACTTTAGCTCCTCCAGCTTACTGTGATCTGTTCAAATCCTGATCCAATAGAACTTTAGCTCCTCCAGCTTACTGTGATCTCTTCAAATCCTGATCCAATAGAACTTTAGCTCCTTCAGCTTACTGTGATCTCTTCAAATCCTGATCCAATAGAACTTTAGCTCCTCCAGCTTACTGTGATCTCTTCAAATCCTGATCAAATAGAACTTTAGCTCCTCCAGCTTACTGTGATCTCTTCAAATCCTGATCCAATAGAACTTTAGCTCCTCCAGCTTACTGTGATCTCTTCAAATCCTGATCCAATAGAACTTTAGCTCCTCCAGCTTACTGTGATCTCTTCAAATCCTGATCCAATAGAACTTTAGCTACTCCAGCTTACTGTGATCTCTTCAAATCCTGATCCAATAGAACTTTAGCTCCTCCAGCTTACTGTGTCCTCTTCAAATCATGATCCAATAGAACTTTAGCTCCTCCAGCTTACTGTGATCTCTTCAAATCCTGATCCAATAGAACTTTAGCTCCTCCAGCTTACTGTGATCTCTTCAAATCCTGATCTAATAGAACTTTAGCTCCTCCAGCTTACTGTGATCTCTTCAAATCCTGATCCAATAGAACTTTAGCTCCTCCAGCTTACTGTGATCTCTTCAAATCCTGATCTAATAGAACTTTAGCTCCTCCAGCTTACTGTGATCTCTTCAAATCCTGATCCAATAGAACTTTAGCTCCTTCAGCTTACTGTGATCTCTTCAAATCCTGATCCAATAGAACTTTAGCTCCTCCAGCTTACTGTGATCTCTTCAAATCCTGATCCAATAGAACTTTAGCTCCTCCAGCTTACTGTGATCTCTTCAAATCCTGATCCAATAGAACTTTAGCTCCTCCAGCTTATTGTGATCTCTTCAAATCCTGATACAATAGAACTTTAGCTACTCCCTAGACTAGGTGACACTGGGATTCGAAACCTGGAGTTTCTGCACAGAAGACGGGTGCTCTAACCACTAGGCCACCTAGCTTGATTAACAATGGAACACAATTGAAGCTGCACAGTCCGAAAGTTAAATCCTTCCTGTTTGATCAGCTGAAATAGAGATCAGAAACACTGTTTTTATAATATGTACCTTATAAACTGAAAATAATTTTATTTAAATTATAACGCTAGTCTTAATGTCTTACAAACAGTTTTAAAGAGAATACTATCTTCACACTTTTTCACTGTGTTGACCACCGACGCGACAATAGATCAATATTTACTGATGATAATAAAGAAGACTCTCTCAGTAATGGTATTATTTAATTATTCTGAAAGAAACGTCGGATGTTTTAAACAGATGACAGACTGCTCATTTTTATTGTTATCTAATTCTAATGTCTAGATAGGAAGAAGCTATGTGTAATTTTCATTGTCCTAATAAAATCAATAACAAACGATGCAAGGTCAGGGGTCCCACAAGGCTCAAGACTAGGTCCATTCCTCTTTGTAATGAACACTGCATTTCGCTTTACTTTACAACATAAGATTCGATAATAAAAGATTGGACTAAGAAAGCAAGGATCTCGGTACAAAGACTATTGTCCGAATAAATGTTTGAACAGTGATGATTTAGATTAGTAATTGTTCTGCTTAATGAAAATTAATAAAATTGCGCACATCTCTCTAAATTTACCTTAGACAATGGCTCAGGATTGTCTCTTGTAATATGTAGGTTGGCCATTTCTTTTTGTGTAGAACGGGTTGTTTAGCGATTTTTTATTTAACAGGCAGATTGACAGTTAGATTGCCGGCCTCTCAACCTAAATCTTTAAAAGATAGATAAGAAAAAAGAAGATCCTGGCTTAAAATGGACGATAATTTCACAATATACTACATTGCCATAGTATGCGGGGTGACAATGGGTTTTCCAGCAGTGCTATTCTATCTGCTTCACTGTTGCTTGAAAATAATCGAATCGAGCGAGGAAGAGCTCTTACAAGACAGACATGAAACATCTCCACTTTCCACAGAGCATTCCCTAGATCAGGAATCTGATAGCACCCAAAAATGTCAACTTCAACACCCAGAAGATCACCCAGATTGTGGTAAATGTGGGGACCACGTACAATTCATTCCTCCTGATATGGATCTTAGGTTCCCGACAGCGTACTATACGATCCTTCCTCCGCAAACCAATGATAACACAGTCGATATTCCATCTGATGATCAGCCTCCCCCTTACAATGATCTGTTCAAGTCTTGAAAAGAAAGGGAACTGGGATATAGATTAAAGAAGTGACCGGAACAGAAAATTCATAGATTCAGCAAGGTATTACATAGTGGACTTTGGAACTGTGTTATTGAAGTAGACGTTAAACAACCTTATTCAGGATGACTTAAAGTTACTGAGGTGAAGATTGCATTCTGAAACAATTTGGAACATTAGTAAATATTAACATACAGTTATTTGGGACTTGCAGTACTGTAATACTGTATAGTACAGTAATACTGTATAGTACAGTACTGTAATACTGTATACAGTACTGTAATACTGTATACAGTACTGTAATACTGTATACAGTACTGTAATACTGTATACAGTACTGTAATACTGTATACAGTACTGTAATACTGTATACAGTACTTTAATACTGTATACAGTACTGTAATACTGTAAATAGTACTGTAATACTGTATACAGTACTGTAATACTGTAAATAGTACTGTAATACTGTATATATAGTACTGTAATACTGTATAGTACTGTAATACTGTATAGTACAGTACTGTAATACTGTATAGTACAGTACTGTCATACTGTATACAGTACTGTAATACTGTATAGTGGACTTTGGGACTGTATTGTTAGTCTTAGAAAGGAGAAAGGACGGGGTGTAGTTCTTGGAATAAATAATGTTCTATTATCGATGGACGATGTGTCTCACTAGATGAACCAGTGATCACCGGTCGAGGTGGCAAACTATTTCTCAAGAAATCTCTGATCTTAACTTCATCTAACATATATTGAAAACACTGTGAAATGTTGAGGAACTCTGCTCCGTGATAAAGATCGTACCATATTATACAAATGTTGTATTATAATCTTTGAATGATAAGTATTTTTAAACTGACATCAAGTTTATTGTCGTGAAAATTGCAAAATTTAATCAAACGTAGGACACCACACCTGATGCGGTATCCAGGGGAGGCCGACAAAGGGGGCCCCCGATTATTAGGGGTCAGATCATATGACGTATAATTAGTAATGTGACGTATAATTAGTGATGTGATCCATCAGTAGAATTTAATTGACCCAGAAATGAGATAGATATAGGGTAGAGTTCACATGTCAATACTGTAAATCATAGCTGTACATTAAGAAGTTAACATGATCTGACTGCTCGACTCGTAGATCACATAAGGGACTTAGGGACGGGTCACGGGAGCTCTTGCTAAAGGGGTTCTCGTATCAAAGGATGTGAGACGTACGTGCAGGTTAATAAATATAAATTTCGGTCACGTTTCTCCTACAAATATTCGGGTCGCCTATAAATGATAGGGTTGGGTTTATTAATTTACCAGACAAAAAAAGACAAAAGTTCAAAAGAAACAGCAGGTACACAGCCATTTATATTAGCTTATATTAACCACTTAGCAGTGCCTCTGAAGCTAACAATATAATGCCTTCTCAATAAAGAGGTATATTATTTATGAAAACCTTTTTTTGGTGTCGTAAAGATCGGCTGACTGAACAAAGGAACGAGATTCTCGAAAGTTCAATAAGAGTATGACGTGCCTTTCTTTGCAGCGGAAAGCATTGACTGTATAATAGCCAACCTATTGGAGTAGATTCATTATGGTGGATCGCCACTTGCCGCTTCTATTTTAGTTATTTTTGTGTTGTCGCATTGAATTTTTGTTAATTGTAAACTTAATAAAATTTGTGGTAGATTTGAAAAGGAATTGTCTTAAAAAGTGACGAAAGCATATACGATCTGAAACCAATTTCTCCCTAATTTCAATCATGCTCAAACAATTTTTGGGTTTCTGTGGATTCATGCCACTACTCATTGTCCTAGTATGTTGCACCAGAAAGATAACACTGTTTATTCAACAATTCATACGCAACAGAAACTCAATATCAACACGACAACCTGATCCCGCCCCGATTATAACCTCAACGTTTCCCAACACAGCGATATATCAGATCAATCCTCAACGGAACTACCAGCGGGCCCCTGATCTGGGCAGGTTATATATCCGACCTCCTGATTCACCAGACAAGCCTGCGGAGTATTACTGGATTGTTCCTCCGCATACTTTGGAGATTACAGTTGAGATTTCTCCTGCTGGAGATGAAATTGAACGTCTGGCGTACAATGATTTGAATAAATCATGAATATTTGATCCCACTAATTCAATCATTATGTTGTTTGGGAGTGTCGCTGATTTTTTTGTGTGTGTGTTTTTGCTTATTTAATGATTGTTTATTTATCTTGTGACGGTCATAGCCACATTGTCTGACACTCTGACACGATCTTCACCGCACTGGCAACATAGTTAAAAAATCAGTCGATGGAACAACTAATGACATTAATATAATCTTTGGAGCATGATTGCAAGATTTTAACAGGCTGAAGGATGTAGAATTATCATTCCAGCAATTCCTCAGCGCATAAAAATAAATCTTCCGGCATAAATCCTGCTTTACACAATCGTTTTAGATATCTGTTTGACTTTGAGTTGTTTACGACATAACATTTGTTATGTTTTTGTTTAATGGCGTGGCTTTGTTGGTCTGTGCTGCAGTTGCCACCGGTGATGCTGAGGCAGTTGGAGGAATACGGGAAAACTTAGGAACGGAAATTAAAGATTACGAAATCATTGGATTAAAAAAGAAGGACTTGGTTGTTAAAACGGACGATAAGAAGTCGGACTTGATAGCGAAACAAGAAGACATATTGATGGTCAAAACTGAGAAGGCAATTTTGAACCCAGTCGAGGCAAAACCGTACATAACTGTACCCGCATTAGAATTCGAAGATTCAGGCCCAACCCAGTCAAGAACAGCCAAAACTCTACCCGAATTAGAATTCGAAGATTCAGGCCCAACCCAGTCAAGAACAGCCAAAACTCTACCCGAATTAGAATTCGAAGATTCAGGCCCAACCCAGTCAAAAACAGCCAAAACTCTATCCGAATTAGAATTCGAAGATTCAGGCCCAACCCAGTCAAAAACAGCCAAAACTCTACCCGAATTAGAATTCGAAGATTCAGGCCCAACCCAGTCAAAAACAGCCAAAACTCTACCCGAATCAGAAATTGAAGATTCAGGCACAACCCAGCCAAAAACAGTAAACAATATACCCGAATCAAAAATCGAAGAGTCAGGCCCAATACAAGCAAAAACGGACAACACTGTACTTGAAAGAGAAATCGAAGATACGGGCCGAGTCCAGGCTAAAACGGACAACACTGTACCCGAAACAGAAATTAAAGACCCAATCCATGCAAAAACAGAACCCATATACATCGTCACAACAACCAAACCAGCCTTTACGGACAACAGAACCGAACCCGAAGCCCCAGATAATCTATCACACAACTGTGACGCTATCTCGCACCCACTCCTCTCTCCGCACTGTGCACTCTGGCTCTACTCCCACTACCATCACATCAGGGGAGGGTGGCGGCAGTGTCAGGAGTTCGGGTCCAGTTATAACAGGCGGTGTGGGTTGTGGTGGGCCAAGTGCAAGAGGAGGAAGAGGAATCAGCATTGTTGTATAAGTGTGCATTGTAATGCGAAGTTGTTCCATGGGCTCAATCTGGGGTAGTGTGTGGGGGATCACGGGAGCAGGGTTCGGAAATCAAGCGGTGGTATTCTTCAGATTGTAGAACTTGGGGAATATAGTTACATTATATCAGTTCAGTCCAAGTTATTCTTCAGATTGTAGAACTTGGGGAATATAGTTACATTATATCAGTTCAGTCCAAGTTATTCTTCAGATTGTAGAACTTGGGGAATTTAGTTGGGAAGTTATTCTTCAGATTGTAGAACTTGGGGAATTTAGTTACATTTTATCAGTTCAGTCCAAGTTATTCTTCAGATTGTAGAACTTGGGAAATTTAGTAACATTTTATCTGTTCAGTCCAAGTTATTCTTCAGATTGTAGGACTTAGGGAATTTAGTAACATTTTATCACTCTTATTCTTAAGATTTTAGAACTTTTAAGGGACATTTTATCAGTGGCGAAATTTTGAGAAAATCATGTAACATGTTATGAGAATGCACTGAATTTGCGTGACCGTTAGTGAAGAGTTAGAATGAAGTTTATTCTAGAATATTCCATAATTTTTCATAAAATTGATATTGCGTCTAAATATTCACAAAAATGTATTTTGGGGTGTTGATGATTAATTAGTGATCTTTTAATCTGCAGATGAAGGTAGTAATTGAAATTATCTTTGTAATTGACCAATTGACTAATTTGCTGTCCAGTAATATTTTGAATCTATTGCTTGTATCTAAACCAAAAGGAAAAACTTGACGAACCAAATCACATTTCTATAAATCATAACCGTATTGTATGAATAAATATGTATTTAAATCAAAAAATATGTTAGTAAAATATCAAAAAATACACGCAATTTAACACCAAAATGGTCTTACCTCCATTTCCTTAAGACAGAGAGGTAAGGTGGACAGAAGATGTTGGGAGATGTTCTCGTCCACGCCGCACACGCGCGCTAGATTATCATCGTGACACACTACCACCTCCCCATCCCGCGTCATCTGCGGAAACGTCATGTGATTATTTAGGCAAGTTTCCACAACTGATTTTTTCTGATCAGCGATAATAACCGCTTTTTTAACGCTAAAAAAGCGCTTATTTCGAAAACCCACCGTTTATTGGCGATTATTTTACGTCAATAAACGGTCCCGTTAATAAACGATTAGAAACGATTATAATCGCTTTTCCATCCCGCGTCATCTGCGGTAACTTCATGTGATTATTCATTAATTAATCATAATAAGTTTGTTGTGCGTATTGTACGTTCATAAATTTGAAGATGAATTTAAGAGATTTAATTGTTTGATCTACAACAATATGAAAATAGGGCCTTTCAGTTGGCGAGATGTTGTGGGATAGTTGAGTGACAAATATAAAATATTCGTATTGAGGTTAGAGGTAAAATATTACTCTGAACAGATCGAGTGTTTGCTCGGAATAAATTAACCTTACAAAGTTGCAAAGGTAATAATGCCATTGCCAAATGCCAAGCATCCATAGACCGATATGACGTGAGAATGTTCCGTGTTTAATGTTTATCATAATGTCCAGACTGGTAATGTCCAGACTGGTAATGTCCAGACTGGTAATGTTCAGACTGATAATGTTCAGACTGGTATTGTCCAGACTGAGATTCAGGAGTGTAAGATAGATAACTTAATCATGCGGCTCAGAGACAGGACAGCAGCAAAGACGATAGTAACCAAACTGGACACTGAGTATTTAAGGAATTTGGCACTGGAATGTATGTATACTATAGTGCAATTGCCGGGTAATATTCCTTGCATGATGGTAGGTTTTGAGTAGCTTGTAATGCCGCACGTTTGTGTAGTATAGTGAAGATAGTGTAGTATAGTGAAGATAGTGTAGTATAGTGAAGATAGTGTAGTATATTGAAGATAGTGTAGTATAGTGAAGATAGTGTAGTATAGTGAAGATAGTGTAGTATAGTGAAGATAGTGTGTTATAGTGAAGATAGTGTAGTATAGTGAAGATAGTGTGTTATAGTGAAGATAGTGTAGTATAGTAAAGATAGTGTAGTACAGTAAAGATAGTGTAGTATAGTGAAGATAGTGTAATATAGTGAAGATAGTGTAGTATAGTGAAGATAGTGTAGTATAGTGAAGATAGTGTAGTGTAGTGAAGATAGTGTAGTATAGTGAAGATAGTGTAGTATAGTGAAGATAGTGTAGTATAGTGAAGATAGTGTAATATAGTGAAGATAGTGTAGTATAGTGAAGATAGTGTAGTATAGTGAAGATAGTGTAGTGTAGTGAAGATAGTGTAATATAGTGAAGATAGTGTAGTATAGTGAAGATAGTGTAGTATAGTGAAGATAGTGTAGTATAGTGAAGATAGTGTAGTATAGTGAAGATAGTGTAGTATAGTGAAGATAGTGTAGTATAGTGAAGATAGTGTAGTATAGTGAAGATAGTGTAGTATAGTGAAGATAGTGTAGTGTAGTGAAGATAGTGTAGTATAGTGAAGATAGTGTAGTATAGTGAAGATAGTGTAATATAGTGAAGATAGTGTAGTATAGTGAAGATAGTGTAGTATAGTGAAGATAGTGTAGTATAGTGAAGATAGTGTAGTATAGTGAAGATAGTGTAGTATAGTGAAGATAGTGTAGTATAGTGAAGATAGTGTAGTATAGTGAAGATAGTGTAGTATAGTGAAGATAGTGTAGTATAGTGAAGATAGTGTAGTATAGTGAAGATAGTGTAGTATAGTGTAGTATAGTGAAGATAGTGTAGTATAGTGTAGTATAGTGAAGATAGTGTAGTATAGTGAAGATAGTGTAGTATAGTGAAGATAGTGTAGTATAGTGAAGATGGTGTAGTATAGTGAAGATAGTGTAGTATAGTGAAGATAGTGTAGTATAGTGAAGATAGTGTAGTATAGTGTAGTATAGTGAAGATAGTGTAGTATAGTGTAGTATAGTGAAGATAGTGTAGTATAGTGAAGATAGTGTAGTATAGTGTAGTATAGTGAAGATAGTGTAGTATAGTGTAGTATAGTGAAGATAGTGTAGTATAGTGAAGATAGTGTAGTATAGTGAAGATAGTGTAGTATAGTGAAGATGGTGTAGTATAGTGAAGATAGTGTAGTATAGTGAAGATAGTGTAGTATAGTGAAGATAGTGTAGTATAGTGAAGATAGTGTAGTATAGTGAAGATAGTGTAGTATAGTGAAGATAGTGTAGTATAGTGTAGTATAGTGAAGATAGTGTAGTATAGTGTAGTATAGTGAAGATAGTGTAGTATAGTGAAGATAGTGTAGTATAGTGAAGATAGTGTAGTATAGTGAAGATAGTGTAGTATAGTGAAGATGGTGTAGTATAGTGAAGATAGTGTAGTATAGTGAAGATAGTGTAGTATAGTGAAGATAGTGTAGTATAGTGAAGATAGTGTAGTATAGTGAAGATAGTGTAGTATAGTGAAGATAGTGTAGTATAGTGTAGTATAGTGAAGATAGTGTAGTATAGTGTAGTATAGTGTAGTATAGTGAAGATAGTGTAGTATAGTGAAGATAGTGTAGTATAGTGAAGATAGTGTAGTATAGTGAAGATAGTGTAGTATAGTGAAGATAGTGTAGTATAGTGAAGATAGTGTAGTATAGTGAAGATAGTGTAGTATAGTGTAGTATAGTGAAGATAGTGTAGTATAGTGTAGTATATTGAAGATAGTGTAGTATAGTGAAGATAGTGTAGTATAGTGAAGATAGTGTAGTATAGTGAAGATGGTGTAGTATAGTGAAGATAGTGTAGTATAGTGAAGATAGTGTAGTATAGTGAAGATAGTGTAGCATAGTGAAGATAGTGTAGTATAGTGAAGATAGTGTAGTATAGTGAAGATAGTGTAGTATAGTGTAGTATAGTGAAGATAGTGTAGTATAGTGTAGTATAGTGAAGATAGTGTAGTATAGTGAAGATAGTGTAGTATAGTGAAGATAGTGTAGTATAGTGAAGATGGTGTAGTATAGTGAAGGTAGTGTAGTATAGTGAAGATAGTGTAGTATAGTGAAGATAGTGTAGTATAGTGAAGATAGTGTAGTATAGTGAAGATAGTGTAGTATAGTGAAGATAGTGTAGTATAGTGAAGATAGTGTAGTATAGTGAAGATAGTGTAGTATAGTGTAGTATAGTGAAGATAGTGTAGTATAGTGAAGATAGTGTAGTATAGTGAAGATAGTGTAGTATAGTGAAGATGGTGTAGTATAGTGAAGATAGTGTAGTATAGTGAAGATAGTGTAGTATAGTGAAGATAGTGTAGTATAGTGAAGATAGTGTAGTATAGTGAAGATAGTGTAGTATAGTGAAGATAGTGTAGTATAGTGTAGTATAGTGAAGATAGTGTAGTATAGTGTAGTATAGTGAAGATAGTGTAGTATAGTGAAGATAGTGTAGTATAGTGAAGATAGTGTAGTATAGTGTAGTATAGTGAAGATAGTGTAGTATAGTGTAGTATAGTGAAGATAGTGTAGTATAGTGAAGATAGTGTAGTATAGTGAATATAGTGTAGTATAGTGAAGATAGTGTAGTATAGTGTAGTATAGTGAAGATAGTGTAGTATAGTGTAGTATAGTGAAGATAGTGTAGTATAGTGAAGATAGTGTAGTATAGTGAATATAGTGTAGTATAGTGAAGATAGTGTAGTATAGTGAAGATAGTGTAGTATAGTGAAGATAGTGTGTTATAGTGAAGATAGTGTAGTATAGTGAAGATAGTGTGTTATAGTGAAGATAGTGTAGTATAGTAAAGATAGTGTAGTACAGTAAGATAGTGTAGTATAGTGAAGATAGTGTAATATAGTGAAGATAGTGTAGTATAGTGAAGATAGTGTAGTATAGTGAAGATAGTGTAGTGTAGTGAAGATAGTGTAGTATAGTGAAGATAGTGTAGTATAGTGAAGATAGTGTAGTATAGTGAAGATAGTGTAATATAGTGAAGATAGTGTAGTATAGTGAAGATAGTGTAGTATAGTGAAGATAGTGTAGTGTAGTGAAGATAGTGTAATATAGTGAAGATAGTGTAGTATAGTGAAGATAGTGTAGTATAGTGAAGATAGTGTAGTATAGTGAAGATAGTGTAGTATAGTGAAGATAGTGTAGTATAGTGAAGATAGTGTAGTATAGTGAAGATAGTGTAGTATAGTGAAGATAGTGTAGTATAGTGAAGATAGTGTAGTGTAGTGAAGATAGTGTAGTATAGTGAAGATAGTGTAGTATAGTGAAGATAGTGTAATATAGTGAAGATAGTGTAGTATAGTGAAGATAGTGTAGTATAGTGAAGATAGTGTAGTATAGTGAAGATAGTGTAGTATAGTGAAGATAGTGTAGTATAGTGAAGATAGTGTAGTATAGTGAAGATAGTGTAGTATAGTGAAGATAGTGTAGTATAGTGAAGATAGTGTAGTATAGTGAAGATAGTGTAGTATAGTGTAGTATAGTGAAGATAGTGTAGTATAGTGTAGTATAGTGAAGATAGTGTAGTATAGTGAAGATAGTGTAGTATAGTGAAGATAGTGTAGTATAGTGAAGATGGTGTAGTATAGTGAAGATAGTGTAGTATAGTGAAGATAGTGTAGTATAGTGAAGATAGTGTAGTATAGTGTAGTATAGTGAAGATAGTGTAGTATAGTGTAGTATAGTGAAGATAGTGTAGTATAGTGAAGATAGTGTAGTATAGTGTAGTATAGTGAGATAGTGTAGTATAGTGTAGTATAGTGAAGATAGTGTAGTATAGTGAAGATAGTGTAGTATAGTGAAGATAGTGTAGTATAGTGAAGATGGTGTAGTATAGTGAAGATAGTGTAGTATAGTGAAGATAGTGTAGTATAGTGAAGATAGTGTAGTATAGTGAAGATAGTGTAGTATAGTGAAGATAGTGTAGTATAGTGAAGATAGTGTAGTATAGTGTAGTATAGTGAAGATAGTGTAGTATAGTGTAGTATAGTGAAGATAGTGTAGTATAGTGAAGATAGTGTAGTATAGTGAAGATAGTGTAGTATAGTGAAGATAGTGTAGTATAGTGAAGATGGTGTAGTATAGTGAAGATAGTGTAGTATAGTGAAGATAGTGTAGTATAGTGAAGATAGTGTAGTATAGTGAAGATAGTGTAGTATAGTGAAGATAGTGTAGTATAGTGAAGATAGTGTAGTATAGTGTAGTATAGTGAAGATAGTGTAGTATAGTGTAGTATAGTGTAGTATAGTGAAGATAGTGTAGTATAGTGAAGATAGTGTAGTATAGTGAAGATAGTGTAGTATAGTGAAGATAGTGTAGTATAGTGAAGATAGTGTAGTATAGTGAAGATAGTGTAGTATAGTGAAGATAGTGTAGTATAGTGTAGTATAGTGAAGATAGTGTAGTATAGTGTAGTATATTGAAGATAGTGTAGTATAGTGAAGATAGTGTAGTATAGTGAAGATAGTGTAGTATAGTGAAGATGGTGTAGTATAGTGAAGATAGTGTAGTATAGTGAAGATAGTGTAGTATAGTGAAGATAGTGTAGCATAGTGAAGATAGTGTAGTATAGTGAAGATAGTGTAGTATAGTGAAGATAGTGTAGTATAGTGTAGTATAGTGAAGATAGTGTAGTATAGTGTAGTATAGTGAAGATAGTGTAGTATAGTGAAGATAGTGTAGTATAGTGAAGATAGTGTAGTATAGTGAAGATGGTGTAGTATAGTGAAGGTAGTGTAGTATAGTGAAGATAGTGTAGTATAGTGAAGATAGTGTAGTATAGTGAAGATAGTGTAGTATAGTGAAGATAGTGTAGTATAGTGAAGATAGTGTAGTATAGTGAAGATAGTGTAGTATAGTGAAGATAGTGTAGTATAGTGTAGTATAGTGAAGATAGTGTAGTATAGTGAAGATAGTGTAGTATAGTGAAGATAGTGTAGTATAGTGAAGATGGTGTAGTATAGTGAAGATAGTGTAGTATAGTGAAGATAGTGTAGTATAGTGAAGATAGTGTAGTATAGTGAAGATAGTGTAGTATAGTGAAGATAGTGTAGTATAGTGAAGATAGTGTAGTATAGTGTAGTATAGTGAAGATAGTGTAGTATAGTGTAGTATAGTGAAGATAGTGTAGTATAGTGAAGATAGTGTAGTATAGTGAATATAGTGTAGTATAGTGAAGATGGTGTAGTATAGTGAAGGTAGTGTAGTATAGTGAAGATAGTGTAGTATAGTGAAGATAGTGTAGTATAGTGAAGATAGTGTAGTATAGTGAAGATAGTGTAGTATAGTGTAGTATAGTGAAGATAGTGTAGTATAGTGTAGTATAGTGAAGATAGTGTAGAATAGTGAAGATAGTGTAGAATAGTGAAGATAGTGTAGTATAGTGAAGATAGTGTAGTATAGTGAAGATAGTGTAGTATAGTGAAGATAGTGTAGTATAGTGAAGATAGTGTAGTATAGTGAAGATAGTGTAGTATAGTGAAGATCTAAATTTAAACTACTAAAGTATTTAAGCAACTGCAGCACCAACAAATAATATACCTGCACATCCAGCTCGAACAGTTCCACATCAATCAGTTCAGCCTGTTTAAACGCGGACATGGTATTCTCCGTCCATTCTCCGCCCCCACCGCGATGCGCTTGGAAGCGGGAGGGGAAGGTAACGCGGCCTGGTTTATGAAGGAGTTGGGGGCAGAGGAAGAGAACAACTGAGGATATTACGTAGGAGCCAGCTACATAGTACAGTAACATAACACTGGGAAGTAGGGAGTGGTGAATTAGTTAATTAGTTAATTAGTTAATGAGTTAATTAGTGAGGTTCATGTCTAAGACTAAACGTGTTTTCAATTGGATAATGTAAGGGTCAACACTGTCAACTAGAGTAACATTATCAGTTTTTGACAATGGAAATAGGTAAACAGTGAAAAATTCGGTTTTTATGTGAAATATAAAATTACTCGATTATAGAATAAATACATTCAACAGCAACAAAATGATATGAAAATACGATCAACAAGTTCTGTGGTAATTAACCTTCAATGATTACCTTGCAAGATAAGGATCAAGGAACTAAAATATTTAAAAGCCCATGGAAATTGAAAAGTGTGAAAACAAAGATTGGGTTAAAAATCTGACCTAGAAATTAAAAAAACCGGCACTCATAATAGTGCCTAACAGGAAGAATCACAGAATAAAAACTCTCAAAATTCCAAGTAAAAGAAACAGTAACACAGATCTGACAAACTCATGAAGTGAAAATTGACACTAATTAATTAATTAATTAATCAATTAATTAATCAATTAAATATTTCATCAAAATGTCTGATTGTTGTGCGTCAGTACTTTGAGGAGTTCAGTTGTAAACAGAGCGGTTTTTAGGAAGAAGTTGTCTGGTTTTACTCTATCTGAGTTTCGAGATAACACAGACAGTGCCGCGTTTACAATCGACATGTCCAGTTGTTGACGAAACCTGGTATAAGGAAAACATGGGTTAATATATATATTATATAAAGCCTGGGCAGAAATTTTGTATCATAAGCTGTTTATAAATCGTGCTAGATTAATTAATTTATTGTTTTTCGGTGTTCATATTAAAAAAAAATGGAAGATCGTTTCTATCTTTCTATTGCTCACTTACAAAATAATAGTCAGTCACTTTGAGCTATAAGAAATATATACCTGAGCTGTTAACCTTTACACCGTGTATTATTTGATATTAATTCGCACGACTCTGATTGTGATCTTCCTTAAGTTAGTCGTACATGAAGCAAAGCAAATGGGGGTTTTCGGTAAGTAAATTAACAACATAACAAACCTGTTGTTGATTTAACTTAATTAACATCATAACAAACCTGTTGTTGATGTAACTTAATTAACAACATAACAAACCTGTTGTTGATGTAACTTAATTAACAACATAACAAACCTGTTGTTAATGTAACTTAATTAACATCATAACAAACCTGTTGTTGATGAAACTTAATTAACAACATAACAAACCTGTTGTTGATATAACTTAATTAACAACATAACAAACCTGTTGTTGATATAACTTAATTAACAACATAACAAACCTGTTGTTAATGGTAACTAGAAACTCCCCGTACAAATCAACACAAGATGAGTGCTTAGTTTCCTCGACCCAACAACAACAATACTTCATCAGTTGCTGGCCAATTGCTCTGAGAGCGAGATTGTTAATTTGAAACGGTCAATTTATTGAATTAATTGATACCTACAATGGTATGTAAAATTATTTGTTTAAATGAATCCGAAAATAATGATGAATTAAAGATTTCAAACCGGTCTTTGAAAGCTAATCTTTTAAGTTTCTCAGCCGAGATTTCTGTGGGATTTTGATGTCCTGACATGATGACGTCATCAGATGATGGCGAATTAGAATCGTGAGATGTAGGAGTAGGACTCTGAACAGAAAATTAATTAAATAATTAATTGATACGCATAATTTAAGCATAATTATTGTAAAATATGCATAACTACTAATGGTCAGTAATCTGCGATAAAACTTAAAATAAAGAGCACCAACTTTCTACCCAGCTAAGCCTGAAACCGGATATATTTAGCGCAGACAACACTTGTACCATTCTACCCATTTAATAGATAACTTCTAGCTAATTAACCCACCTGCTGATCTATTCCCTTAATCTGTCTGATGGACATAAGACCAGCATCCAACAAACTGTGACTTCCACCATCCAACTTACTATCCTTTTCATTTTGATAATCTCCCTTTTTTGAGCCGTTCCCTTCAACATGTTGTAAAACAGGACATCCTTTGCATTGCACACATCCCTGGAGTATAATTTCTTGCTCGTTTTTGGATCAACTTCTTTTATAGTGTTGTTCTTGGGGTATTTGTCCGGGACTTGGATGTCTCGGAGAACACCGAACAAACTTTGTTGGGTGTTTTCTGGAATGTTTCCAGGAATGTTTCCAGGGACCTTATTCTCAGAGATGATAGGTGAGGAGACAGTCGAAGAGGATTGCTTATTTGTAACAGTGGCTGCATCTGCTTGATCGCTGACTGATTTCTTGGCTGGACAACTGGTGGGTAAGGGAGATTGAGTGATCAGATTGGAATGAAAATGTTGGTGACATCGAATTTAAAGTACGGACATAAATATTCTGTCCAAGTTTTATTAAAGTTTGGATTGCATCAAAACTGTGCAACGATTTGAGGTATTGTATGCAAGCCAAAGCTGTAAGAAGCATTACACGGGCTCAAAGAAGCATTATTAGCAATTGTGTCCTTTACCCTCCCACACAATTTGAACATTTTCATTTATTGAACTACGTCAGACTAAATATGTATATTAAACAATTCAGTAAGTTAGCTTTTAATTTGATGAACGCTGTAGTTCGGAAATGTAAACCAAACTCTTTTGACAAATAACATTTTGTTTTATTTAAATTTTGTTATATTTATAAGCTGCAATAATTAGCCGGAAAGAGGAAAGCTAGAGAAAACGCTGAATTTTAATGAATTAGATAAACTTAACCAATATAATGACCTAGTGCCTAATCCGAGTGGTCATATCATATTACTGTAAATCCCCGATTTACCGCAAACCCCGATTTGCCGCGGCCATGTCCTTCCCCCAAATATGGCTTAATATGCATAATGTAAAGAAACAAAACCCCGATTTACCGCAAACCCTGATTTACTGCAGATGTTTCCTTTCCCCGAAACTCCGCGGTAAATCGGGGTTTCACAGTAATACCATTGAAATATGATTATTTAAATCAGTTTAACAAATATTATTCTCCGAAATGGACATGCAACAAAAAAATGCATAATAGCATCAAATCAAAAATAATATTATTATGATAATATTATAATTTTTAAATTTATGAAATCGTCAATGAAATGGCTTATCTGGTCTGAACAAATTTTGCAATACAACACCCCATGCTTTAATCAAAATAAGAAAATCAAGTTAACTTACATTTTAAAACTAGATAAGAGGGTCAGTCAAAAAATTCATCTTTTTCTTGGACAAACGTTTCCAACTCAATTTTATTATAAATGATTATATCATACTAAAGTTAGATTAAAAAGATGAAGCACCAGTTTGTCCAATCTCTTTTAATACTACTTTCATTAATGAAATTATCCATTATGTGAATAATATCTCAATATTATGACTTATATTATAAAATTAGAGGTAAAAGAATTGAATTTATAATTCAAAAATTAAGTTTAAAATATAAAAATATTCAATAAAATGATAAATAATAACAGTATGTATACATATTACCAATCCTTAATAAATTGAGCTTTTGAATTTATTGCCCATGATGCACAAACTTAAACATTGATTTTAAACGATCATCAAGAGTTTATTTTGGACGATGTCTTGGTAGTGTTTAAACAACATACTCTCACCATATTCAGTTAGACTACGATTATCCTTGAACATGCCATAGTTTTTTCCATATTGCTTTATAAACATGGCATAGAAATTAAGATAATAAATCTTACTGTCAGGATTGCACAGAGAGAACATCCATGAATTAATATAAGTCACATTTTGGCGAGTCACAGCCGAATTACAATCATCTTCAACAGGCAGAACAGAACAAAGGAATAAACTAGCGCTAGGATAATGTTTTTGCAGAAGTTTCAGAAACGCAGGGAACAGATTACACATCGAAGACCAACTCAATTGCCCAAAAACCTCGAATGTACCGAGACGAACAAATATTTTGCTGACAAAGTTTCTTAAATGTGGTTTTGCTTCTGTAAATTGAAGAACAGTCATCTCAGCTCTTGTTATGGTAGTGGGGGGAAGATTTATCACTTGAACTGTGGTTCCCCCTACATTTGCTGTGTTCAGAGTCACACATGCAAAAATATCACTGATAACTAGAATAGTATCTTTGTAATGAGTAGCTGATGAAGATATGGTGCTATACTGTATTGGATGGAGCTTTTTTACTTTTCTTTTCTTTGAATTCTTGGAAGTTTGTTGAGTGGGTTCCTCATTGATGTTATTCTCTTTTCCCGTGGAAGATGGCAGATCACGTGATGTTTCCCTGGAAAGATGTGTTTGAAGTAGGAATTCTCTGGATTCGCCCCATGGTCAGCAGAAGTTATAGCTGCGCGCACGGTTTAGAGGGTTTAAGACAAAGAACAGCAGAACATATACATTTTGTTTAAAAAAGACATGTCTTTGGTTCAAAACAGATACTGGACAGCGCAGTTGGATTATAAAGATTGCGAAGTAGATTTTCAAAACAGTGCTGATGTTGAAAGATATTTAAAATAAATTGGAAATTTAAAAGGGTGGCCCTCGGGTCTTTAAAACAAATAGTAGTGCTCATGTTAGTGCTCGATCAAATTGAGATAAATATTAAAGAGTTGTTTTAGTTAAATACAGTCAGATCCATTCTTTTAAGATGATGGTTTTAATCATTCTCTAGACAATAAAAGGGCAACTGAAATTGCAGTCTACGTTAGAACATAATTTAAGCAAGTTCTAGCCATGAAAAAGGTTCGAGATCGTGCTTTGCACAAAGAAGTTTCGAATTTGATACGATATTTCCTGGTTATAAATTGAATAATTAAACCTGACAATTTTGATTCCTTGTAGCATTAAACAGTGCTCATGCTAACAATATCATGTATAAATAAATAGAACGTTTGCACAATATGTAATGTATACTATTCCAATTAACATTATAATTCTTGAAACATCAGCACTTTTAAATAAACAATGTGAGAAAAATGCAAACAGGTATAACTGTTTTATAAGGTAGCAGCTATGTTCATGCTCAAGTTCTCTCATATTTGGTTTTTTTAATTGCAGCTACAGCTTTCACTCATATTTGACAGCAAATACTAGCTAAGACATTGACAACATGTTGATGGAACTGGAATATTCATCCGTGTTGCGAAATTTGATGATTAGATTCAATTCAAAACTGTAGTGTTCAATTGAAGAGAATTGGTATTTTACAAGAAACTTTCCAGCATTCTTTTTATAAGATGGCTAAGATGCAGCAACGTGATGAAAACGTTAAAAAATGTCGTTAAATTTTTTAACGAAATTATGTTTATTGATAATTAATGAAATAAATAATGAATACAATTTTCTGGAGTATAGCATGATTGCAATTTGCAATAATATGGTTATTGGTGGGGAGGTGAACCACATTTGTTTTGACACAAGACAGCGATTCTGTGTTTTTTGTTGTTTTATGGTTCACCTCCGCAATCTATCAAATAATATTTAAACCAAATATTAACATACTTCTCTTTCCTGGATAAGCTCGACTCCATTCCCTCCGATGATGCAATACAAGAGCTAGAGGCAGCAACATCCTTTGCATATACAAGCGACGCTGTTTTGCAAGTTTCAACTACTGAATTTTCTTCAACAATGATTTTGGGTTGAACAGGAGCACTGGTCTCTTCACATGACTCAGGAGGGACAGCTGGAGATGTTTTAGTTCTCTCTGCTTTATCTTTAACTTCTGGTTCTGATACTTTTACTGGTTGAGGCTGCGTTTTTTCTTTTTGTGGGATTTCTGTATCTTCAGTAATCATTTTTAATTCTGCCATATTCTGATCTCCTACTGTGTCCCCATTTGATAATTGAACAATTTTCTGAGAATCAACAGATGTCTTTGGGATTTCTTCTACGATTTTGCTCTGAGGAGGTGTACAAGTAGTACCTTTTAAATTTGGAGATTGTGAAGAATCATTTTCACTGCTAGAACGTTCAACCGATGAGGCTTTATAAACTTTCTGCCGCTTATTGAGCTGCTCACAGGGAGGTTTATTTACGCTCATCTTGGGGGAATTTGTCCTAGGTTTATCAGTCTTCTTGCGTTTAGACAAACTGTTATTTGAACGGGATTTTGGTGTAGATGATAATGAAGGCTGTAAGGACCTGTAAAATTTGTCTGTTAATAGTTCTGAAACAGTAAAGATTATTAATTATTTCCAAAGAACTAAACAAAGTGAATATTACTAAGATATAATACATAGCCGAATATTACTCAACAAACCTATCAAATTCATCTATGAAGCTGTGATTAGGGTCGGAGGCAAGTCTTAGCAGAGAGGAATTTTTAACAGTGATAGGCACTTTAGGTGTGCTTGTAGGAGATTTTTCACGAACAACACTGAAAAAAGTTACAACTTGGTGAATAAAAATTGGCAAATAAAAATGTTGTGTGGAAACGGTGACTGGGATGATCTTTTTGAACAAACTAGATACAATAGTAAAAAAATGGTAAAGAGTCCCGAAGAGTCTAGAAACAATTTTATTTAACATACAAACAGGGATGACATTTTTGAATACGTACTTACAATAACAGAGATAGCACCTTGAAAATATATAAACTGACCTTTTTTCGTCAACAAAACTATTCATTAAAGACTGGTTGCCATTAGAACAACCTCCTTGAGGAACATCTTTGGCAGTTGCAGAGTTCAGAGCTTTTTTCAAAACACTTGATGTCTTTAAAGTGCTACTCATTCTTATAGGATTCCTAGTTACCAAAACATCAATTAGAAGATCTCTGTAGTCATCAAGATCATCTTGGCCCAGTAATTTCGGTTTTTTGACAGGAGGAGATGTTGTCTCTGAGGCTGGTATTGACTCTTTAGGTGAAACTGGAGTCTGAGTAAATGTCTGAGAAGGTTTTCCATCTTCTTTCGAAATATTCTCTGAAATATTAATTCAAATTTATAGGGGTTTGGGGTATGAATTTCATAAAAATCAGAAAGCAGTAGGCACACACAATCAGTTATAGCTGCACTGTCAGTATGTCGAATGTATGTTTAAGTGGGTCACAATCCCCACTGACCATTCTTCTTTGTGTCATGTCTATGTTCCTGAATACTTGCTTCATCATCTCCTTTTTATAACATACACGGTGTCTTTATTGACTAAGCGCATTACACCGTTTACACCATTTGTGCACACCGTAATAGAAATAATTGTAATATGACGTATGATGTCTCAATGCCACACAATATAGGATTATATACAATATTATCTAAAAGTTTATAACCATAAATAATTAAGTTTATTTGGCTCTTACCTAAATTTAAAGGTGGCAAATCAATGCCCTGTCCAACAACAAAATCAGAGAAAAAGCTTTCAAAAGAAACATCATTGGTGGCAGGAATTTCTTCTTGAACATCTAGAAATACTTGCTGCTGATAGATTGTTTGCCCTAAGATGTCCTCTGTTTTTGTCCTTCTTGGATCAAAATACCCCGCTACTTCATTATACCCAGGGCCATGTAATGAGAAAAAGGGTGTATCTCGGGGATAGTTAATCATCTCAAAGTTGTGAACATTGCTGAAAGGGGAAGTTTGAAATACTTTTGGGCTACAACAAAATATCCTGTCAAAATAAACACTGATAATTTGCTGTTCCAGCTGAGTATAAACACTGAACAGTACATCTAGATGCTTCAGGTGTAATGTGTATGATGTTCTATTTTAAACAAGCCAGATAACAAACCTGTGAAGTGGATGTGTATTATCCTCCTCTTTATCTGAGACCAAAAGTTTATGGGGTATTTCATTCAATTGAGATAGAAATCTTTTCTTTCGTTCATGTACTTGGAGACAAAACTGCTGGGATTCGCGTGGGTCAGCAACTTCTTCCTGATAATAATAAGTTTTGGATCTAATTTGAATCACTGGGGACCTCTAATTTTGACCATATTTAATGAAATAAAATTAAAGACCCGTTGCGTTATGTGACTAGCTAAATTGAAGTGCAATTGCAGTGATTGCTAATGATGCTATGTATTTTAAAATGTACAACAATTATTTTTAACTATAATACCTGATCATCAGTTAAGCTGCTTAATGGAATGTCGACAGTATCTTGCAAGAAGAAAACACTGTCATCATCCATGAGACCGTCAACCCTGGCAGAGAACCAAACCAGCTGTAACTATCTGCCACACATTTGCTCTCAAGATCAAGACAATGTCATCAAGCTGATGTACTCCATACCTAAATAAATGATTGAAACTAATGAGGCATTGCATATCAGCCAGCTCTGAGGAAACCTCATAATAAGGATGAGGGAAAAAAGAGCATTTGTGCTCTATGAATTGTAACACTAGGATTTACAGTACACTGAAATGCATGAAGATGTACTGAAGCATACCCTAGTAATATACTACACCTCTACTAAATCCTCATTTAACCCTCTCAGTCACAGTTTCTAGACTTGACTGAGTCAATCGGGGGCATCTAACACAGATGTATATTGTTGGAACAGTATCTGCAGTAAATTTTTGCGACTGCAAGGTTCCTAAAGAAAGCTTGCACATCATATTATTTTATGCTTTGATTGTAACAATACTAAAATTATGATTTATCGTAAAATTATAATATCCTGTGTCTGGGTACCCAGACAACCATGGGTAACATTCTCCTGGTGAATCAACCTGGTCTCTTTGACATGATGGACAGTTAGCTTCTGGCTGTGATACACAATATTCAAACTATTTTGACAAGCCACTTCATTTCTTTTGCCACTTCATTTCTTTCTCAGAGATCCAAATCATTCGACTGGGTAGATTACAGTAGCTTACACATATATCTCGTGGGATTGGTAGCAAATACAGGTATTATCAATTAAAGCAAGATTCAAACAATATAAACATAATATAACAATGACCCTATATAAAAATTCAATATAAAAATTCAATAAAAATCTTAGGAAATTTCATAAAAACCCTTTGTAGTAGTAATAGTAAAAGTAGCCACCACTTTTTATCCCTCTTTCTCCTCTAAGAGCAATAATTGTTGTTCTTTATGAGTCAAATCTTATTCTTTTCCTGTTAAAATTCATCGCCTCACTGTATCTTTGACCTGATTTTCTAGATAGTTTATCAGCTAACTTTTGAAGAAAATATTTGCTTCTCTTCCCATTCCACCTGCTGTTGATAGGACTATTGGTGTAAATGTTCCATGTTCTACTTCAACAATTCTTTTGTTGTACATTTTTTCTTCTGTCTCTCATGGCTAGTGTACATACTCATTGGAGTATGGGAACGTTCGTTATGAAAATCAAGAAAACAATAATTTCAAGAAAACAACAACTTTATTTAGTATCAATTAAAGCAGACAAAAACATATTGCATATATAACTAGCACGAACTTTAGATCAGATATCCTAGGGGACTTGGAGTAGCAAGAGATTGACTAGAAGGTATATACCGTTTACAAAGATACGTCGAAAAGAATCCTTGTCATACGTTGTATGACCCGCCGCGCACGAGTGCGCGGCTCCCCTGTATCGTCAGGACCATGTGGGGGTCGCAACGTGATACAAAAGAATCCAGTAGGGGGTGCACCATAAAAATAAACTTGCTCGGATTTTAAAAATGTTTGTACCATTGTTTTCTAGAGACTGTGAGAATTTTCACAATACCAAATTTGTCATACCTTTTTGGAAAGATCAGTGAGTTTCGCCTAGGTGCCATATTCGATGGTGCGCGGCTTTTGGAGCAAAATTAGCTGTAAAAGTCGCGTAATTTGACCAAATTTGACCAAATTTGTTGATTTTTGTCGTATTATTTGGATATATCTTCAGTTCCTTGAATGAATTCATTCTGAAAATTGGCGACGACCTTCCAATAGGGCTTTTACAACTGTCTGAAAAATTTGATGGATATCGGAGTTGATATATAGTGATCAAAATGGGGCAAAATTCGCTGCCTTTAGCTGTAACATAATGTTTGATGGTTGGATATGCTTAAAACTTTTCGGACACTTTCCTTGTAAGTCGATGAGTAAGCTTACCAATTTTTGTTGCAATCGGAGGTCGGGAAGGATACTTAATATCTATTTGTTTGAAGAAAATTGTGCTGGCCGAAATTAGCGCTAAAAAACCTTAAACCATCCTACAGTCGGCACGCGCGGCTCACTGTCGATGGCGCACTACCTAAATCCAGGGTGATACAGGATCGAAAGTTTACGACCATAAAGTTTACGCACCCACCTTTGCGCGCCTCCGATCCTGAATTCTTGGTTGGATAGAAATTTATGCAAACTTGGTCGTTTATACTCCAAGTCCCGTTGTTAAAAGAAGTTATATTATTTATGTCTGGAGTTAGCTTCATTCAATTTGACGGATGTTACTCTTATAAATTTCTTCGAAGTAGCGCGCGCCGCTTTCTTTGTAGGTTTACAACCTACCAGGACGCGCGCCGAGTTGGACTCGTCGACGGTCCAATATATGGAACAGATATTTTACGAGTATCACCCGTTAACGCTTTCTTCTCGAAATGTAGCGCGCGCCGGGCCAGACCATTAATGGTCAACATTTAATAACAACAATATCAATACCAATATCAGACTAAACTACCGAATAAATAATCAAATATTAATTAATTCGTTCCGATTAAAAAATTTATAAATTAATGATTAAGATATTTAATACTTCAAAACATGGTTAAAACAACAAATGCTCGTTAGCAATCATGGACTTGCTTTAACTAAAGCCCTAACGCTTGCATTGCTCTAACCAGAAATTTGAAACAGCTGAACATCTTCGACTGATAAAATCCTGTACGTACAAGAAAAAAGCCTGTAAAATAAAGTTTTTATACACAATACAACAATTTCAAATTTTGGTTTACCTGGGGACCCCAGGCTATCATCAATTATGTTTGATGTTCATAAACATCTCTATTCCGCCGAATAATTAAAGATTCGGCGGAATGACAGGCTGAGCGCCGCTCAGTAAATTTTGGCATACCGCACATACAAAATTGGCGTTTACAGTTTACATAGGTATCCGTATATAACGTATATTAACACTTTGCACAGCTTCCACTATAGGTCGGGAAATTTATTATATTTCGAGAAGAGCTGAGCGTTGATACACGTTATAACACCTTTTCGTGCGGCGGCCGGAGTGCACACAACGCGAACGTTATAAACGGGTGTTACTCGTAAAATATCTGTTCCATATATATATAGGACCGTCGACGAGTCCAACTCGGCGCGCGTCCTGGTAAGTTGTAAACCTACAAACACAACGTGTAGCAAAGAAATAGCGGCTTGCGCTACTTACGCTACTTGCGCTACAAAACAATTATTAACGAATAACGGGAGTGATATATTTGTAAAATATTTACCTAGGGACCCCAGGCTATTTAATTTTTAGCGGAATGACAGGCTGCAAGCGCCGCTCAGTAGATGTAGGGACGTAGGGACCACTGGACCTCGCTGGCCTGCAAAGGTTTGACATCTATAGTGAATCAAAGCAAGGGACGTAGGGTCGTAGGGACGTAGGGACGTAGAGACGTAGGGACGTAGGGACGTAGGGACGTAGGGACGTAGGGACGTAGGGACGTAGTTAACGGGCCGGGTGATTATACTCGTGATAGTAAAATATTTGTTTCAAATATTAGGACCGTCGACGAGTCCAACTCGGCGGGTGTCCTTGTAGGTTATGAACCTAAAAGGACGTAGGGACGTGTAGGGACATGTAGGGACTTGTAGGTTTATAACCTACCAGGACGCGCGCCGAGTTGGACTCGTCGACGGTCCTGGGACGTGTACGGACGTAGGGACGTAGGGCCGTAGGGACGTAGGGACGTAGGGACGTAGGGACGTAGGGACGTAGGGACGTAGGGACGTAGGGACGTAGGGACGTAGGGACGTAGGGACGTAGGGACGTAGGGCCGGACGTAGGGACGTGACACTTGACAGTGGACAGGGACACTAAAAAATTCATGCTCTGAGGACCAGATACTGCATTTAATGATAGATATAAATCAATACAAGCCGTTGTCATGGTTACTATGGATCAAAATACCATTACTAATACTCATCAAACATCAAACAGCCGTATCTCTCCATGACGTAGTTCGAGGTATGAAAGAAAATTTATATTGAAATCTTACTGTGCTAATAAAGGGATCCACGTCGTGCTGGCGCCTTATCACTATCAGTTCACATCGAAATAAGGGGCTCGGCTCAGCCTCTCGATGATTTGCAAACTTATCCAGCAAGAACACGAATTTCAACGTTTCGACATGGCACACGTACTTTAGTTCGACACGCACCACATTTAGACACGTACTCTAGTTTGACAAACCAAATTCGACTCTGTCGAACTAAATTACGCTGCATGGATTTTAGTTTGCACGTACTGAAGTTCGACAGAGGAGTTTTTATTTCTGGACAAATTTATTTGTCGAGTGCGTGGATCTTTGGACACTTTGTTGGATTCATGCTATGTATGATGTAGCTTTTTTAAATAACATAAGAAATATAAAAATTACTCATAATTTGAGAATACCAGATTACTACCTACAAGAATAAGCATCTCATTAAGGAAAGGTGTACTAAAAATCCAATATAGACTTTCCAAAGAGAAAGTGATTTGGACACCCTGATTTGTTGTATTATAGTTAAGTCTTTATGTCTTTGTCAATATGCTCGTGGACACAATTTGAACTTCTATTATTTGAAAGTAAAGTGTCCTCGATCGTAGGGACAAAGAACGAAAGTGATAAATTTTCAATTACTCTCTATGGCATCATCTGTTTGTCTTGTTTCCATGCTGGACATATCGCTCTCCAAACTGATTGGATGCTATTCCTCAATCTCCAATATTATTCTCTATGTTACCATGACAATCGTTCACGTGGTCGGGAAACTGACGAAGGAACCTGGGCTGGTCCTGCTAATGCTTGTCAATACTTCTGCGTCCTCTGAGAACAGCCTAGGTAACCGCTCGGCCATCCCCATTAACACTTCTAGTAACTGATCACGTGACCACGTGACTTATCGCTCCAGACCTTTCATTTCATTTTAATGTAGTTACTATTATTGTTGTACCGATTTTCTTTGACATCGTTCATACATCGTTGGAGATTGAATAGCGATTAATTCAAGTTAAGCAAGTCTTGCAGGGATGAATTGGGTTTTAGGTAAGTCTAAATATTTAAACATTATAATTATACCATTGCTGCTCTTTTATTACCAACCTCATAATACCGTGCTAAAATTCCAAATAAAGTTTTAAACCATAACTTTCCCATTTGCAATAACCATTCTAAATGAGATAACTTGAATATATGGAGGTTAAGTTAATATTTCTTGCAAAATGGAAGACAATTATTATATAACCTTCCCACCAGTAAAGTCCAACAACATTTAGCACAAAAAGCAGGATTTAGAACACAAGTTCCTAACATCCTCATTCCAGCAGTGAAATCTCCCGTACATCTCACAAAACTCACTGTCCGTATCCTCACAGTTTTCTGGACATATCCCGCAGGACTTCTTGCAGTTTGCTGCAATCTCCCTGTGCTTGCAGTATCCCATGCCCTCCGAAAATGAGCAGTACGTATCCGAGTACATGTTCCGACAGGATTCACCAGGGGAGGGACAAATTCCGCACGATTTCTTGCACATGTTGGCTGTCACCTCCACGTCGCACAAGTGGGATCCGCATGATCTGGCACTGTCTACACAGTCATCATCGCCAGTATCATTGCCGCGATCTACTACAGAATTATCGCTCGCTGCTTGGCCGATCGCAACGAATATGTCTCGGACAGATGTGAGAGTCCAGTACTGGACTGATTTGAAGATTTCTAGAAGATTGTCACGAATTGGATTGTTCAGGGAAGGATTGGAGTTGAAGGAAGTAGAACCGCTGGAGGTGCTGCTGGTGGGTGATGTTGACGTTGATGAGGAAGATGAGGAAGATAAGGAAGATGAGGAAGATGAGGAAGATGAGGAAGATGAGGAAGATGAGGAAGATGAAGATGAGGAAGATGAAGATGAGGAAGATGAGGTTGGATAAGTTGAGGTTAACGGAGTAAAAGCCGTGCCCTCCTCTCCACTCTCTCCAAAGTTGCTTTTAGACCAGGACCACCAAGAGAACACAGGCTCCAACATTGACTGTACCCACTCTATAGACTGATGAGGGTTGTAAGACCAACCCTGGGGAGGAATTTGAAAGTTGTTGCCAGCACCACCACCACCCACTGGGGTTTCGTCTACGTGGATTACGCGGATAACTTCTGTTTCTACATCTTGAGCTTGCACAGTTTTTCTTCCGTCACCCCGAAAGCTTTCTTCCTCGTCTTGTTCTTCATCTTCATCAATTATTTCAGTAGGATTTTCCTGATCTATCCATTCTGAAGTGGGTATATCTGTTGAGCCTGTCTCTTCTTTATTTTCCGCTTCTTCTCCTTCTTCATCTTCTTCATCGATTATTTCAGTAGGATTTTCTGTTGAGTTTGTCTCAATCAGCTTATTTCCTTCTTCTTCAGCGACGCCCTCCTCCATCTTCCTTTGTTCCACCTCCTGTATAGTTGCCATAGCAATGTTTGATGCCTCCATGCAGTTCATGAATACCACCACCCCGGCCCCTCCATCTGGTAGAGCAACCCACGTGGTATTGGTAAGGTGTTCCGGGTAGGCTCCTTTAAGTAGACACATCTCAGTTCGGGTAATCCACACAATCGCTTGACAGCTAGAGTCCTCCGTGCAGAGTTTAATGCAGCTAAATGTGGAGGTGACGCCCTTTACTCGGGCGATGGTGCCCCCGCCTAAATCCATGTTTTCAAGCAGGCATTTGTCATCTGAAATATACACAAATTGTAGTTTGTAAAATGTACAAAAGTGTTTTAATCCTTACGTTGTACAGAAGAACAAGATCACGCATTGACATTCTCAATTTTATGCCAGTCATAAATATAATCGGTTCATTTTCAAATTTGCTTAACTCTTGTGCACTGAAAAGATTTTTAAGAATTTATTTAAATGTTGATAATTTTGAAACTATTCACCAACCTCTATCTGACTGATAACTGAGACTGATGAGGAGACTAAACAATGAAAGCCAATGTACCTGCATGTCTCGTTGCGAACAAAGTTAACTTAACAGATTGACAAAAGTGGAAAGGGTAGAAAATTGTTTGGCCACGTACTATATATGGCACTAAATAGGTAACATATTGTGAAATATCCCGTTTTCTCAGCTTTGTTTAGTCTAAAGTTGTGTAGCACAGTTAAAAATGCTGACGTTGATAAACATGTTTTCTGGTAATGATATTAGATTTCATGGAATGTGGTGCGAGAATGGTGGGGCATTCGGTGAGGAAGATCAATAATACACCAAACTGATTACCAAAAGTTGATCTGAACCCTGAGGGAAGCTTTTGAGGGTTTTTGAATTCTCAGTCACACGCTTATTATATGTATACCTTCAAATTGCTTTTATAGGGACACCCGGACACCTGTAAGATTCACAACTGTGAAGTTGAATGAACATTATACATAAAAACAATTGATCTCAGTATAAAGTTTATTAATTTGATAGTAAAACTTTTCAGGAGTCCTGTTACTGCTCGCGATCCAGGTTTGTTATTTCACTTTCACATTTCACTTTCACATACGTAGCAATTACCAAAGGCAGGCAATATAAACTAAAGGCAGGCATACAAAAAGCTGGTAACCATTTTAACTGGCATACTTCGACCTTCAAGGCAGTCGAATTTATATATTTAATACTATTGAAAAACCACAATGAGACACACTTTCAGATAAAGGATACGACTTCTTCTCCTACTCCGTCGTTTTTCTATGAACCCGGTTAGTTTTTTTAAAATCATCAGATTAAAAAACCTTAAACCTTTTATAGGTTAAAATCTTTATAGGATGAACGTATAAGTTTTTATTCGTTTATCAATCGATAGATATGATAATTGATTCGCCGTGATGTATTTAAATTTATCCAAATGCTCGTGCCCCGGTGCCTGCCTACCAATGATAACAAATTTGCATCTATGACGACATAAAGTTCTAACCTAATTTTTGTCGCAAATAAATTTCACGAATCATGATCATTTAAATTGATATCCAGTATAAGTGTTTCTATGTCGTACGAACATTCGTTTTGTCGTAAACTTCATTTGATACAATTTTCGTTCTGTCGTATAAAACGTAAATCGATTTTTCGGTTTTTGGTTTGTTGTAATCTTTTTTGTGCAGTTCGACTTGGTACAACTCGTTTTGTAGTTGATATTTATCGTAATCATGCGTTGCTTGTCATGTCGTCAGCGGTGAAATCTCAACACCATCTCTCTGTCGATGAGTGGGATCGTTTCACATATTTGATATTACTACGTTATCTTGAAGGAAATATAAGGGTTCCAAAATTACCAATCTGTATAATTTGCAAACGATAACTATACATAAAAAGTGGGTCTAAGGATGGGGTTTTTTAATGGCCACAATATGATAACGTAGTATTATGTAAACGATCCCTGGTCGATCCGATGTCCTCAAATTCAATCAATCACCAGTGACGTCACACTCTACAGTGACGTCACACTCCAACAGTGACGTCACACTCTCCACCACCTTGTCATGGTCCCCCTCAACTCCGAACATCTTACAGGGACAAGTGCGATAGCTGTGCTGGTTTTGACTCTACAATATTGTACCCTATCAGTATCAGCAGCTGGGAATAAAAGCAGACGCAAAAAACCCAAAACTACACCACCACTAACAACATCGTCATCACCAATCTCTTCTTATTACTCAACTACTGAAGGATCTTCCTCTATATTATATACTACAGGTGTTGCCTCTTCAACAGCAATGGGCTCCTCTACAACAACAGATAAGATTGTAGGCTTCTATACAGATGCATCTTCTTATACAGAATCATCCTCAGAATCAACTGGGACTAGCTATGCGACTCTTCCGATGACGACAAGCAAACAAACGACAACTGATACGACGACAGAAAGGCCAAGGACAACACATATGACAACTGATACGACGACTCAGATGACGCCAGAAAGCACAACACAGACAACTACTGATACGACGACTCAATTGACACAAGGAAGGACAACTCAGACGACAACTGATACGACGACAAAAGAAACAACACAGACCACAACTGATACGACGGCTCAGTTGACGCCGGAAAGGACAACTCAGACGACAACCGATACGACGACAAAAGAAACAACTCAGACGACAACTGATACGACGACTCAGTTGACGCCGGAAAGGACAACTCAGACGACAACTGATACGACGGCTCAGTTGACGCCGGAAAGGACAACACAGACGACAACCGATACGACGACAAAAGAAACAACTCAGACGACAACTGATACGACGGCTCAGTTGACGCCGGAAAACACAACTCAGACGACAACTGATACGACGACAAAAGAAACAACACAGACGACAACTGATACGACGGCTCAGTTGACGCCAGAAAGGACAACTCAGACGACAACTGATACGACGACAAAAGAAACAACACAGACGACAACTGATACGACGGCTCAGTTGACGCCGGAAAGGACAACTCAGACGACAACTGATACGACGACAAAAGAAACAACACAGACGACAACTGATACGACGGCTCAGTTGACGCCAGAAAGGACAACACAGAAGACAAAACTTTCAACTTCTAAACCATACATTTCTAAATCTGGGTCAGAACTTTTAACTTCTGTACCAGGGAAATCAACGAGATCAGACAAATCAACATCTGAATCAACAACTAAATCTCCATATGAATCAACATCTGAATCAACATCTGAATCAACATCTAAATCTCCATCTGAATCAACATCTGAATCAACATCTGAATCAACATCTGAATCAAAAGCATCAACAGAGATCGGATTAGAAAGATCCACAACCTCGAAAGGTGAGCTCACATATATTATCCAATCAGCTTCCAGCATTGAATAATTTAAGGTTCCAGTGGTACGCTGCTTGTCCTACAATCTTGGCCGGGGCGAACTCGGACACGATTGACAATTGATCGTGTTACAACGAAAGCTAATGGCTCATCTGAGCGGGTATAAATATAATATCGATGTTCAAAGATAATTAAGCTGGACCTTTAATTAAATGAACGATGTGGTTACTGGGCGGCGCTCAGCCTGTCATTCCGCCGAATCTTTATTCGTTATTATGTTTATGAACATAATAGCCTGGGGTCCCCAGGTAAACGATGTGGCAGTTGTGAGTTGTAAATAATGTAATGACATTGTAGTAAAGCCTAGCAAGATCATTATATTTAGTAAAATGACTTTTTCTCATCTAGATATTTTTACAAATTTTCCAATCTTTCTCAAAATACTTTGACGACACATAACAGTACTTACATTATTTCAAAGGTGCACGTTTAGCATTTAGGTACTCAACTACCCCAAAAATAGTGTATAGTAGAAACTAGAAATGAATTATTGTTTCGAAGTGTAAAACCTGAACAGGCAAGAATTGAAAAAACTGCTTTTCGGTCAAAACTCGTTCGGCATAATTACAATATTTGAAGAATCAACTCCTGTACCAACGCTTAGCGCTTATTAACTATTAGCGCTTATTAACTGTTTCGTATAATTACCCTTGACGGAAAGGTTATGGCCTTTGATCTCTTTTACCAGGACGTATTGTTTGTTACAGAATGATAACTTTTTAATGTTCCAATTGTAGAATTTCATCATCTTTATTTTCAGGTGGAACAAATACATCCCCTGATGGATCCTCAACTGATGCCGGCACAGCTGCTTCAACTCCAGGAACAAGAACGCCATCTTTAGATATTGGTACAGGAACAGCATCTTTTGTTGCTGGTAAAACAGGAACGGCATCTTTTTTTGCTGGTACAGGAACGGCATCATTTGTTTCTGGTACAGGAACGGCGTCTAACAATGCTGAAATGGCTTCTGCTTATACCGGTGGAACTAGGGGTACTAATTCTGGACCACCTGGTACCTATGGAACACCTGGTGCTTATACCGGTGGAACTAGGGGTCGTAATTCTGGACCACCTGGTACCTATGGAACACCTGGTTCCACCTATGGACCACCTGGTACCTATGGACCACCTGGTTCCACCTATGGACCACCTGGAACCTATGGAACACCTGGTTCCACCTATGGACCACCTGGTACCTATGGAACACCTGGTTCCACCTATGGACCACCTGGAACCTATGGAACACCTGGTTCCACCTATGAACCAACTGGAAATTACGGAACGCCTGGCAGTTATCCTTCTCCTCGTTATACTGGTGGAATACCCGGTACCACCTACGGACCTCCTGGAACTTATGGACCTCCTGGAACTTATGGCCCTCCTGGAACTTATGGACCACCTGGAACTTATGGCCCTCCTGGAACTTATGGCCCTCCTGGAACTTATGGACCACCTGGAACTTATGTACCACCTAAAACTTATGCCTCCCCTGGAACTTATAGACCACCTGGAACTTATGGCCCTCCTGGAACTTATGGACCACCTGGAACTTATGGACCACCTGGAACTTATGGACCACCTGGAACTTATGGCCCTCCTGGAACTTATGGACCGCCTGGAACTTATGTACCACCTAAAACTTATGCCCCCCCTGGAACTTATGGACCGCCTTCCCCTGTGCCACAACCTCCACAACCTTTCCCTCCGGCTCCTCCTGGCCCTGCGGTTGTTACCTATGAACCAACTGGAAGTTACGGAACGCCTGTCAGTTATCCTTCTCCTCGTTATACCGGTGGAATACCCGGTACCACCTACGGACCTCCTGGAACTTATGGACCACCTGGAACTAATGGCCCTCCTGGAACTTATGGCCCACCTGGAACTTATGGCCGTCCTGGAACTTATGGCCCTCCTGGAACTTATGGCCCTCCTGGAACTTATGTACCACCTGGAACTTATGGCCCTCCTGGAACTTATAGACCACCTGGACCACCTTATGGAACCTATGAAGTAATTACTGAAGTGAGGACTCTCGAACCACGTGTTACAGGTGATGATAAATCCACGGGAGGATTTATACCTTGGGGTACATCAGCTAAACCTGACAAGTCTTATGAGCCAGGTTTTTATGGATTATTTAACTATTTTAATGGTATTGTATGAATTCAATAGGACCTGAATCTGGAGTTTGGATGATTGTGGGAGGGTGAGCCATTATATGACAGCGATTAACCAATTAGCTTCCGGCAGCAACCAATGAAATCCACACATCTATGTCACATGTCAACTCAAATATGGCTCACCTGACACCTCCCCAACAGTATACACGTCAACACTTTTTTACCCTCTTAAGCATCGTATTTAGTGAAATAGCATAACAAAAACCGTTTACATTTCTTTATGATCAGTTATAGTTACTAATGAGTACAAAATCCATGGAATTTGTTCAATAATAACTGATGGCATGATGATTGATGAAGAAGTTTAATTTTGATGATTCAAGGATAAATGTCACTTTCAGATCCATCAACTTCGGCTGCTGCAGGCGGTTCAGTTAGTACAGAAGCCGGATCTGTTGCTCCTGTTGCAGTTAACTGTAAGTATTTTTCAAAACGTTCCTTGCAGTCAAGTTTGAAATTGTAAATGTGTTCAAATATTCAATGCCTGTGTTTGTATAGTGTATTGTATAGTGTATTGTATAATATATAATGTATAATGTATATAGTGTATTGTATAATACTTACTGGTTCTCATGGTGCATATATTTATGCAAAAGTATAAAGTTCGACAATTCGACTGCTCATTCGCTCACAGTCCCACTAAATCACCTAGCTGCTTGTTTCATGAGTACTTTAGTAAATGTCTAATGTTTATCTTTACTCTATACGACACCCGACAGTCGACACCTTTAAAATCAAAGTATAGTCTCATCCTTTGGCCTGTCTAAAATAGGTCTGAACCACACAAGCCTATTATAATTCTGCTAACAACTGCTAATTATACAGTGTGTGGGCTCTACGTAGTGCTGTTAGCAAACCTGAAATGCCGGGCTAATGACATAGCTGGAGATTACAAAGCTGTTAAGATGACCGGAGATTTCGGCAGAATTGTTTACATTAAAAAAAACCTAAACGCAGCAGACAACCATGACTATACCACGTGAGTTTATTTCTCATCAAAAGTAGAAATAAGGCAGTTTGAGCTTGGATATTGAAATATTGATTATCATTTTCTGCATGAATAACAAACTAAGGTCAGTATTATTTATATACAAATGGTAGTTGATAAAACGTTATATACTTCAGGCGACTTGTTATGGATAAGTACTCGTGGTCAATAGAGGCTGGTGGTCAAGTCATCGCTTTCACAACAAATAAGGTGAGTTGACAGGTCACCCACAAACTATGCAAACTATGCAAACTATGCATATTATGCATACTATGCATACTATGCAAACTATGCAAACTATGCAAACTATGCAAACTATGCAAACTATGCAAACTATGCAAACTATGCAAACTATGCAAACTATGCAAACTATGCAAACTATGCAAACTATGCAAACTGTGCAAACTATGCAAAATATGCAAACTGTATAAACTATGCAAACTATGCAAACTGTGCAAACTATGCAAACTATGCAAACTATGCAAACTATGCAAACTATGCAAACTATGCAAACTATACAAACTATACAAACTATGCAAACTATGCAAACTATGCAAACTATGCAAACGTTTTTCCATGTCTAGTTCCGTTTGATCCCGTTTAATTCCACGGGACACAAAACGAATATCACGTAATTTTCCTCAGTTACCGGATGGAAGCCTCTGTTTTGACGGGGATGGTACCATTAGTTGGACAGTAATATGTGAGGACGGTAGCACCTTAAAAACTGCTCCTATTGATTACTCGACAGTGTCGAGTGATGACCCTATTATTTTAGGAAATCTCTTCGACGACTTGCGTGAGTGTTTGGTATTTTTGTGGACTTTTTAGGAAAGTCATTAAATTGTAAGAACAATAAATCGAAAAACAGTCTCGATCACGTGATATGGCCATATATGCCCATAATCATTAGCTGACTAATAACGAATATTGATTAAGACAACATCCAACACCGAATTTATATTTAATCTAAACTAATATCACAGCTGTAGGAGAGGCGTGTCCACCTTTAGAGACAAAAGAAGATAAAATGTATAGTGTTAGTGTGCTCGAACCGGAGTTGTTTCCCTCTTTTGCTTGTATTGAAAGGATTAATGGTATCTACGAACACAGGTGGGCGATGATCGATATATTTGTAGATTGATCTAGCAAGCAATTTATAGCATTTACCTGAAATTTAACGGGCATGTTTTTATTTCTGTTTTCAATTATTTTTTGCCAAACATTTTGTCCGGTTACCATTATAAATCGCTTTGGTGCTGTTTATGATATAGATGTTTTATTAATGTTTGGGACCAACTCTTTCTGGGTATCAGAATTGTTATAAACCATTATTTATATTTCTTGTATATCGTATGTTTCAGCCAAAGAGTTTAAAAACTCCTCGATAAAAATGCAGATTATGTATTTAATAAGCGCAGCGATTGATAACTTTATTATAAAGCCGATAAGATCGATAAGATTTCAATAAACATTGAATTATGAGTTATGACGAGACAGTAACATTGTTAATGTTGACCATTGCTCTTAACCTTGAAAAAGGGCCAAAAATAAAACGATGTTAATTTACAGTTTTTTTCTCCAAGGGGCGGAGTATTTGGCGGACTTCCGGTTTACGAGAAGGTGGGAGTGGACGATGGAACGGCTTTGTTTAATTCAATCGCAATGCTGGGATTTACCATTGGGTATCAAACCACGCTTCTTGACATTTTGTAAGTCTTAGCTCGCTTAAATATTAAATCAAGATTTTTTTACGGCTACGTTTAAACTTACGTTATATAATAAATATTTGGTATGCATTTTGAGTGACGTTAACAATTATTGAAAGTATACTTTGTTGACATTGATATTACAATCAATAGATATATATCAAGCTTATATCAAGTTTATATCATTATCAAGTTTATATCAAGTTTATATCAAGTTTATATCAAGTTTATATCAAGTTTATATCAAGTTTATATCAAGTTTATATCAAGTTTATATCAAGTTTATATCAAGTTTATATCAAGTCTTCTTCAGTGCTGTGGAGACTACTTTTAGTGAGGTAGACTATACGGCCATGAACAGGGAAGTGTGTCCGAGCGAAGTATCAGAAATGATTTTTGTATGTGACGAGGCAGCCAACACCATATATGGAACAGTCAGTATAGCAGGTAAGACTATTTTTTGCCATTATAAATTTATAACTATAAAATAATTTAACTTAATCACTTAACTTAATCACTTAACTTAACAAAACCCTTCAGAATTTATAAGTGGTGGAAAGTATACCTACGGTCTGGAGCCGTACCCAGTACCCTTCGCCTACAAATACGACCTGTTCTCCTCCATGCCGTTCGACCCTGACAAGTACGAAGGTGGTTTTAATCCTGCCACAGCGGAAGAGAGGGCAGTCACCACACCCAATTATCCAGGTAATTATCCATCCAGGTAATTATCCATCCAGGTAATTATCCAGGTAATTATCCAGGTAATTATCCAGGTAATTATCCAGGTAATTATCCAGGTAATTATCCAGGTAATTATCCAGGTAAATATCCAGGTAAATATTCAAGTATTTATCACCACACCCAATTATCAAGGTAACACGTCACGTCACAAAAAAACATAACCAGATAGCTCTGGCTTAACCCATTAGGGACGATAGGGTCGTTTTTATGACCCACTTTTTATAGACGAAAAACCAAATTACTAAACGCTATAACGAATCTATAGCATATATGCTCAAAATTTATTGGGCTACATATAATGAAGCCCAATAAATTTTGTGTATATATGCTATAGATTCGTTATTGCGTTTAGTAATTTGGTTTTTCGTCTAGAAAAGGTGGGTCATAAAAACGACCCTATCGTCCCTAATGGGTTAAAGTGTTAATTACTTTATAACTTAATGTGTTTGACTCCACAACTCCGCAAGCAATCCCTTCCTAAGCAACCCCTCAGTATCGGGAGCATCGAACAGAAGGTGGTGCAAATACCAGCAATTTACTCTGGAGAACTTTGGAGGAGGTTGTGGGATTGCGGTTAACGGTGATTACACGTTTGGTGGTGACTTTTCGGGCGAGAATGCGGTTTATGAAAAGATTACCCCAGAAGACGACACTCTTCTTCCTAGTGAGAAAGTGTGAGTTTTTAAAATCTATTTTTGTTTTTTTAGAAGCTGTAATGTGAGTTTTTGACGGACTACGGAGTTTTAAATGTTGAGTCGAAGCGATATATACAAAATAACCATTTATGTACAGTATAAAAACTTTAATTTTGCAAAAAGGTTCAAGGGAGTTACTTGGTATACTATCCTGAATAGTGTTAAACGTCTAAGTGACCAAACAAAAGTGACCACGTTTAAGTTAAACGGGGTCACTTTTGTTTGGTCACTTAGAGTCACTAAGGGTATATAGAAGATTCGATCATAGAGAGTCATCGACATACTATTACTATTGATCCATTGTTAATATGAATTTGTTTGATTGCCTGTTATCATTTATAACTTGGTTAGTTTGTGTCACGTGGTGTAAATACTGTGCTCTGATTGGTTGTTTTATCACAGGTATATTTACTACATTAAGAACTGGCGTAAGTGGGTTGCAGGAACAGGCTTCCTGGACGGGAATGGGATTATAGCTTCCTTCAAACATGAGGGAGAGTGTCCATACGCCAGTGAGTCGACTTTGTAACAACTTATTAATTAATTATCTGATCCTGGATGGTTACTTATATTTAACATATTTAACATATTCAACATATTTAACATATTTAACATATTTAACATATTTAACATATTTAACATATTCAACATATTCAACATATTTAACATATCTAACATATTTGACATATTTAACATATCTAACATATCTAACATATTTAACATATTTAACATATTTAACATATTTAACACATTTAACATATTTAACATATTTAACATATTTAACATATTTAACATATTTAACATATTTAACATATTTAGCATATTTAGCATATTTAACATATTTATATTTAATTTATATTTAACAGTTATAACATCCAGGGGGAGAAGAAAGAATGAAAGTTGCAGAAAATGGTGGATTATTCTGCAATGATGCGGTTGTGGGTGAAAGATACGATACTATACTAACCGGACTAGATTATTCAGGTAAACAGTATTGATTATAATAATTAACAAACATGTTTTAATTAACAAATTATCTATTAACAAAACACAAAAATATTTGCTTGGAAAATTACTGTGCAATAATGTGATAAATGGTTAAATTAATAATGTGCTAATTGGTTAAATTATGTGCGTGATTAAAAATTTTCAGCCAGTCTGAAACTGTGATTTTAATTAATACATAATTAACTGGCAATTAATTAACTGACACACTCGCAGTCCAAGATGATGGGTTCCCAAGTGACAAGGACGGATACTTTATATTTTCTCTCGTGAGCGTTTTTAACTACAATCCGAATATAAAAGCTGCCGATATTGGAGGAAATGAGAATGGTGTATCGAATGAATGTAATGAAATTGCCCTCTCATTTGATGGCATTTTTCAGTGAGTAAATTTGTGATTCACATCTTGATTCACATCTTGATTCACATCTTGATTCACATCTTGATTCACATCTTGATTCACATCTTGATTCACATCTTGATTCACATCTTGATTCACATCTTGATTCACATCTTGATTCACATCTTGATTCACATCTTGATTCACATCTTGATTCACATCTTGATTCACATCTTGATTCACATCTTGATTCACATCTTGATTCACATCTTGATTCACATCTTGATTCACATCTTGATTCACATCTTGATTCACATCTTGATACCTTAAATACAGTCTCAGCTTCTTTTTTTGTTAAAATAGCCTATATCAAATCAAAAGTAAAGTGGATATAATAGTTCAACAAAATAATTTTTCTAATTTTAGCAGTAGCAACTATTTTGGATGACATTTTTGAGGGTCAGTCAGGATTTCTGACTGTGTGCTTTTAATCAGTCATCTATTCCCAGGTTGGCTGCTACAAGAAAAGTTTTTGGTGGCATGTCCGTTTATTCAAAAGTACAATTGGACGAGCTTGGGTGAGTTTCAATTTTTAAAGTCTTTAAAAAGTCTTTAAAAAGTCTTTAAAAAGTCTTTTAAAAGTCTTTTAAAAGTTTTAAAAACGTAGTTGTTACTTTAAAATAGTTTTATAAAAAAATCATGATCCTTTACTGGGTCATGTCTGTTTTAATTTTTGTTTAACCAAACCGGTCGACGTAACATTAAAATTAATCGATAAATTAATTTGAATCGATTTTCAGGGAACATAAAGATTTATACATTTGGTACTCACCGTCGCACAGATCATGGATATTAAACTCCGAAATAGGGCACATTAAAGAGGTTAGTCCCACTGGCGTCTACAATCACCTTAGGGATCGTTCACATATTACGTAATCGGCTGAGGGGGGAGGGGTTTCCAAATGAAAACAAACAACACAATAGCTATGTGTAAAACTGATTACTGAGGGGGGGGGGGGGTTGAAATTTTCCAAATATTGATTATGTAATATGTGAACAACCCCTTAAGAGGGGAGGGGCGCGCCACAAGAAAACACTATTGGCACAGGGGGCGCTAAAATGCAACGTTACGCCGCCACTGCACTGATTAGTCGCCAAATTTATTCAATCATGGACTATTGACATTGTGTTTCTGAAGAGTTTATTTCACAGAATTTTCGGAGTTCCATTTCACAGCTGTGACCAAATTTAACGTGACCAAATTTCAGCCGCTGTTGTATGTAAACTACGATTACAATGCTATTGAGCCGCGACAGTTATTGAGAAATCCTGGTTCATGAAGTGCGACGGCTTCAATTCCGTAGCCAACCTCGTCATATGTAAGATTTATATTTAGTTATATTGTATTTATTAATTATTATTAGTTATTGTTTATTATTATTAATTATGCGTAATTATATTTAATTAGCTTGTAGTATAATTTTCTTAAGCGACTTAAATATGTTTTTATCAGAACCCTCTTTCGAATATCTACCTGCGGATCATACGGGATTTAGTATTTTACACAAGAGAGATAATTAACTAATTAATTAATTAACAATCATTTTGTCTCAGATTCACTTTCCTGACCCAACCACCGGATCTTTTGAAAAAGAAGATAAAACAACTACTGCAGCATTTGATTTTGGAACGGAAGCTGGTACAACTGCCTCAACTTCTACCATAAATAACACTACAGACAGCGACAACATCAAAGACAGCACAGGTACGAAGATACCTACAAAAGAAAAAATTCCTAAGATCCCTGACAAACCTAAGCTGTCTGATAATGACATACCTATCATTCCTAAGATTCCTATAGTGATCGTACCTTGGGAGTATAAGATTCCTATAATTCCTTACTTACCACAGCCAGCAGTCACTTTAGGTAGTGAAACACCTGTTAAACGAACAAATCTCTTCGTTTTGTGACTGTTTCAAGTTTTTATAGGGGCAAATTATTACCCTTGGATATTAAGTTTATGCTTGTGTTAATTGGTGAAATAAGTCTGAATGATGTTTGTTTTCGCAATCTTTATTTAATCTCCAGGCTAACTAATTCAAAGAAGTGATCACTTAAACATTTTCTACTGATTATGAAGATTCAGTTGGTATCAAAACAGTTCAGCTTTCATTTATATCCCGCCTTGTCGAGCATGTGGATTTGATTTCAGATTATTATCAGTTAGTAAACGTCCGAAGAGAAATTCGAAGAGAAAGAAAAATAAGCCAAAATATAGTACGTATTGTAGGTGACACCCAGCTAAATGTGAATAATTTTTCATGTGTTCGATCTGGTAAGTTGACTGACATTACAAGAAAGGTGCACACTGCACAGTCGATAATAAATAATGGCCGAACTGAACCGAAATTTTGGTTTAATTTGTGTTTTTCTGACCATTTTTATCCTCAGATACGACTAGTTCGATAAAAGACGTAACAGAGCCCGGAATTGAAAAGAAAACCGGGTACGAAGGGATTGAACTATTCACCGACAAATATATTACTGTCGAGTTACTAACCGCCAAAGAAAGCGATAAATTGGACGATCTAGATGTAGAGATAACAGAAGAAGTAATATCCCCTAAAAACCCCGAAGTTGTAATAGTAATAGAAGGTGGTTTTTCTGAAGCCCCAGTTGTATCTGATGGGGCCCCAGTTGTATCTGAACGTACATCTGAAGCCCCAGCTCCATTTGTTTCTAAAATTGCAACTGACGCTCCAGTTGTTTCTGAAATTGCAACTGAAGCCACAGTGGTTTCCGATGGAGCAACTGAAGCCCCAGTGGTTTCCGATGGGGCAACCGAAGCCCCAGTGGTTTCCGATGGAGCATCTGAAGCCCCAGTGGTTTCCGATGGAGCAACTGAAGCCCCAGTGGTTTCCGATGGAGCAACTGAAGCCCCAGTGGTTTCCGATGGAGCATCTGAAGCCCCAATGGTTTCCGATGGAGCAACTGAAGCCCCAGTGGTTCCCGATGGGGCAACTGAAGCCCCAGTGGTTCCCGATGGGGCAACTGAAGCCCCAGTGGTTTCTGATGGTGCAACCGAAGCCCCAGTGGTTTCCGATGGAGCAACTGAAGCCCCAGTGGTTTCCGATGGAGCATCTGAAGCCCCAGTGGTTTCCGATGGGGCAATTGAAGACGGAGCGGTTTCTGAAGGTACAACCGAAGCCCAAGTGGTTACTGATGGGGAAAAAGAAGATTCGACATTATACGCATCAACAGAGGTAATTAACTAAGAAAGAACAAATATTTGCTCTACACACTAATTATAAATTCCATCTTGCATTGGTTTTGTTATGATTATCGTCATTCGTCTATTAAATAAACGTTATTCAAATTTATTGTATCACTTTCAATTTTATGAAAAAAGGTTATACCTAAACATTTTTAGTCGTCTACAGAAGGAACGACAGAAGCGTTGTTCGTACCCCCTGGTAAGCCATACATTTTCTGTGTGATTTGTTTTGTTGTACTGTCTGCTATATTATGAAATATATATATGAAAAGAAATATAATTTTATTGCAGCAAACATTGTTAACAAAATCGGGTCAAGCATTAACATTTTATATAAACAAAAACTGTCTATAAATAGTACTATAAGTCCGATGAGTGACTTAAACATTAAAACTACAAAACACCCACAGAGGATGATTTTGAACCTGAGGCCTTTACTCCAAGTTACAACACCTTGCTGGCTAGTTTTGTGTTCAGCGGAGATTATTGTCGGACTTCGGCCGAAAAGAAAGCCGTCAAGAAATCGTTCAAGGTGAGTGCTAAGATTAAAAAACCATAAAACTATAATTTTTAAACACTGAAAACGATCATTGCTTTGCTGATATTTGTGCACTTATGCGAGTGTGGCAGTAACACCATAAACAAAACACAAGTTAGCCCAATCAATGTGGACCCTCTTGTTTTACTTTTTTATCTCGCTGTGTGTTAATGAAAGTGCGATGTTTCTTCACAGGTATGGGAGGTATTCGATGGTACATGCTATAAGTCCGGCACGTGTCTCTCAACCAGTCTTAAATGTTCGGATGAACTCGGCGGTACTTTTGCTGTCAACGTCTCTTTCAAACAACTAATTGATTCGGTGAGTGAAATATTTCATTGAGTTATAATTTATATCGTTTAAATAACGTACGCGTATACAATTAGTATTACATTATGATATTGAGAAACATAATGGGAAATCTAAAGAAATAACTTCAAGTATAAAACTTAAATACCAATCTAACTATTACAAATTGTTTTGCTTCCAGGAAACTAGTTTGACAGTAGGTTTGGACGATTTGTACGATGTGGTAGACGCACTGGCGCCTGGATCTGTTTCTATTGCTGTCCAGACTTCAGATAAAAAGAGGGCAGTTCAAACATTTGCCGTGGTAAGTTTTATCAAGTAAAACTCGTTAGTAGATCCATTTATAACTCTCAGAAAAGATAATCTAGGTATTTTACATTTACAAATACCTTGTACGTATAGACAATTTTATCGAAAGTTCATGGTTTTCAGGTTTCCATTGATTTCCATCAAATTTCCTTGAAGATAAAATATCATTCGATTTCACACCAGTAACCAGGTCCTTTTCAGGAAGTACTTGAAGTTAGTGAGGTTGGACCCAAATGTCCACATGGTAGTGTTGATGATGGAGCCAGTCTGTGTGCCTGGTGTCTTAATGGAACTTACGCAGATACAGGTTTGTGCCTGGAAACTTGGTTCACTTTCAGTTAGATTGGGTATTACGAGACCCGGTTTTACTCTGGTTCTATATCAATTTTGTTTTGATATTTCCAACAGCCACCTGTAGTAGAAACAGCCAATTAGGAGTAATCGAACGGATCTTAAAAAGCCAGTTTTAATGATTGAGTTGTTTACCAGACTAGCTTTGATTCTTTTAGCTTTTAATTCTCAGAACCACATTAAACAACTCAACATAATATGCAAACTAAAAAGTAATACCCACATTGCCAGAGGGCGGATACTGTGTGGTATGCGGAGTGGATGAATATCAAAACAAAGTGGGACAGACGGAATGTTTAGCATGTGGGGACGGCTACACAACTGATAGTAAGACGGGACGTTCCAGCTGCGAGGAGATGGGTCTGGTATTATTGACGAAATCGGAGAAGGTGAGTTTAAATAGTAAATTCGATATTTTAGTGTGTAAGATTTGATTGATAATTTTTCGGGCGATGGATTGACCAGGGTAAAAACGTGAAATAAAGGGCAGTTATTTTCTTATTTAAACTGGATATCTCATGCTATTAAAATAACTATGAGTTTCTGCTAGGAAACAAGGTAGACTTCAATACGAATAAATCTTAATAACTATCTTACAGCTGCTAAAGGATTGAGTACAGTAACAGTAGCAGTAATAGCAGTTGTAGCAGCGTTACTTGTAGTCGTTATTATAACCGTGACTGTGTGTCTTGTCAAGAATAAGGGCAACAAAGTCGGAAAGGTAAGTCGAAAATAGTTGGATAGTTTTTCACAAACACTGACAGTTCTTGAGCTTTTATACTGAGTTTGACGTTTTAACTCTACACTGAAAACTTAACGTCTAACACTATAACGAAAGATCCTGTTTAAACTTTATAAACTGAACTCCAGTTCTATTTTTACACCAGATTTATAAACTCACTTTCTCTAACACCTTCTACAACACCTTCTCTAAGACCTTCTCTAACACTTTCTCTAACACCTTCTACAACATCTTCTCTAACACCTTGAACTCTAACACTTTCTCTCTAACACCTTCTCTAACACTTTCTCTCTAACACTTTCTCTCTAACACCTTCTCTAACACCTTCTCTAACACCTTCTCTAACACCTCCTATTTCACAGCTCCAAAATAGGGTATCACCGACCCCTGAAGCAGGTAGAGATAACCATGGCTACTTGAATAGCAGAACGAGCGTGCAGCATTCTTAGTAGAACTAAACGTGGTCTATGATTTAGTATGAATAGTCCCTGAACTAGAACTTGTATGAATAGTCCCTGAACTAGAACTTGGACATGAGAAAAGCCGTTTTTTAGTAATTTGCAAACGTTGAATGTAGAAACTGTAAAAATTGGACTGAAAATTTATTTTCAGAAAGTACGTACTGAAAGTATTACCATTGGCATTACCAATGCAAGTGTGAAAATTCATATATTATATTATAAGATAAACATATTTTTATCTCAAAGATTATCACGAAGTAACTTAATTATGTGAATTTTTCTGTTAACTATTTAAATTTGATGATCAGTCGAACGTTTGCAGAGTTGAACTCTGGTCTTGTTGAACGTAATCGATGACATTTTATGTTATTTGGTTCCATGAGATAAAATAATTTCATCGAATACAATGAAGAGTTAAAACTGATCAAAGTGTCTTGAGCACTCAATGGATAAGCTTACTATAATAGATGTGGATAAAATTTGAATTATAAATAACTCGTGGATCGATTTTTGTACTTGGTCATGAAAGAATCGGTCGTAATTATAATTAATTATTGAGTTTTAGGTCTTGTTTTGCTATTCTGTGTTTGCACTTTGCAGAACTGTACAAAATGTAAAAAATGTAAAAATATTATTTTATCCAATCGTGATTCAGACGAAATGATTCAGACAAAAATATGTTCATTCGAAATTGCTATTTTGAATTTGTTCAATCGAAAATATTTTATAGTATATATTGCTCTAAGTATTTATTTTCATATCTGAATTTAAAGTTTTTAACAACCAAGTGACCCCTTAAGGATATAAATTTACCACTTTAAGTTGTCAATTATACTTTGTTAATCTACTGATATATTGTACAGTGAATAATCGACTTTTAGATGGTATTTTTTCGAAAATCAAAGATTATCTTTTATTCATTTAGAATCGAGCTTAAAATCCACGAGCATACAGAAATTGGGCCATAGATTGCATAATTGAGGCCTCAAATTAATTAAATGAAAATTATGATAACAGTTCTAACACGAATGCGGCAAAATACTACAATATTTGCAAGCGTCATTTTATCGACAGACTCTAACTGATTGAAGCAACGTTTCGTCTATTTACCATTACCAATCACTTAGAAATAATTCAAAAAGGAATGTCATCTGTTTTTATGGGAATGAAAATTGTATGCTGTATAAAATAGCTGATATCAAACTTTCGGCAAGTTTCCATAAACGATATTTTATGATCGGCGCCGATAATCGCTTATTGAGCGCTTTCTCGGCGCTTTTTTTTTTAAAACCGTTTATAATCGATTTTTTTACGATTATAAACGGTTCAAAAAAAATCGCTTATAATCGACTATAATTGATGTCATAATTCAAAAAAGCGCTTTTTTGAATTTAAAAGCGCTTATAAGCGCTTTTAAGCGCTTACTAGCGTCGCTGAGCGATTTGAAAGCGGTTTTCCAGTAGGATTGGCGCCAAAAACGGGTGGATAAGCGGTTGGCCGGATAAGCGATTCGTAGGCGCTTTTTTGAACCATTTATAAGCGATTATAAGCGCTTATAAGTGGGGTGCAATTTAGCTGTTTGTAAAGCGCAAATAAAGCGCTTATAAGCGCTTTTAAAATTGAGTCAGGAAAACGCTATATTACATCTTATAACCGCTTATAATCGATTATAATCGCTTTTTTAGAAATCGCTTATAACGGCTAATTCATCACTATTTTACCGCTTTTACCGCTTTTCCTATCATCCATGGCCAGGTGAGCAGGAATTAAAAAGCGCTTATAAGCGCTTTTTCGATGCTGCCCCTAACCTGGTCGGAACGGGGTAGTGCCCGGAATTTAAAAGCGCTTATAAGCGCTTTTTCAATGCTGCCCCTAACCTGGTCGGAACGGGGGAGGGCCCGGAATTTAAAAACCCTTATAAGCGCTTTTTCAATGCTGCCCCTAACCTGGTCGGAACGGAGAAGTGCCCGGAATTAAAAATCGCTTATAAGCGCTTTTTCAATGCTGCCCCTAACCTGGTCGGAACGGGGGAGTGCCTGGAATTAATAAGCGCTTATAAGCAATTACTCAATTCCCCTTAACCTGGTCGGAACTGGAAATCAGGGTGCCCGCTTATAAGTGCTTTTCTGTGCAACCTGGGGTGCACCGGCAGAGTCAGGATTTAAAAGCGCTTATAGGCGCTTATGATCGCTTTTCTGCCGCTTTTCCCATCACCCATGGCCTGGTTGGCAAGAATTATAAAGCGCTTATAAGCGCTTTTTCAATGCTGCCCCTAACCTGGTCGGAACGGGGGAGTGCCTGGAATTTTAGAATTTTGGAATACATTTTTAGTCGTCTACAAAAGGAACGACAGAAGCGTTGTTCGTACCCCCTGGTAAGCCATACATTTTCTGTGTGATTTGTTTTGTTGTACTGTCTGCTATATTATGAAATATATATGAAAAGCAATATAATTTTATTGCAGCAAACATTGTTAACAAAATCGGGTCAAGCATTAACACTTTATATAAACAAAAACTGTCTATAAAAGTACTATAAGTGCGATGAGTGACTTAAACATTAGAACTACAAAACACCCACAGAGGATGATTTTGAACCTGAGGCCTTTACTCCAAGTTACAACACCTTGCTGGCTAGTTTTGTGTTCAGCGGAGATTATTGTCGGACTTCGGCCGAAAAGAAAGCCGTCAAGAAATCGTTCAAGGTGAGTGCTAAGATTAAAAAACCCTGAACTATAACTTTTAAACACTGAAAACAATCATTGCTTTGCTGATATTTGTGCACTTATGCGAGTGTGGCAGTAACACCATAAACAAAACACAAGTTAGCCTAATCAATGTGGACCCTCTTGTTTTACTTTTTTATCTCGCTGTGTGTTAATCAAAGTGCGATGTTCCTTCACAGGTTTGGGACGTTTTCGATGGTACATGCTATAAGGCAGGCACGTGCCTCTCTACCAGTCTTAAATGTTCGGATGAACTCGACAGTACTTTTGCTGTCAACGTCTCTTTCAAACAACTCATTGATTCGGTTAGTAAAATATTTCATTGAGCTATTATTTATATTGTTTAAGTAACGTACGCGTATACATTATGATATTGAGAAACATAATGGGAAATCGAAAGAAATAACTTCAAGTATAAAACTTAAATACCAATCTAACTATTACAAATTGTTTTGCTTCCAGGAAACTAGTTTGACAGTAGGTTTGGACGATTTGTACGATGTGGTAGACGCACTGGCGCCTGGATCTGTTTCTATTGCTGTCCAGACTTCAGATAAAAAGAGGGCAGTTCAAACATTTGCCGTGGTAAGTTTTATCAAGTAAAACTCGTTAGATCCATTTATAACTCTCAGAAAAGATAATCTAGCTATTTAATTTTACATTTACAAATACCTTGTACGTACAGACAATTTTATCAAAAGTTCATGGTTTTCAGGTTTCCATTGATTTCAATCAAATTTCCTTGAAGATTAAATATCATTTGATTTCACACCAGTAACCAGGTCCTTTTCAGGAAGTACTTGAAGTTAGTGAGGTCGGACCCAAATGTCCACATGGTAGTGTTGATGATGGAGCCAGTCTGTGTGCCTGGTGTCTTAATGGAACTTACGCAGATACTGGTTTGTGCCTGGAAACTTGGTTCACTTTCAGTTAAATTGGGTATTACGAGACCCGGTTTTACTCTGGTTCTATATCAATTTTGTTTTGATATTTCCAACAGCCACCTGCAGTAGAAACAGCCAATTAGGAGTAATCGAACGGATCTTAAAAAGCCAGCTTTAATGATTAAATTGTTTACCAGACTAGCTTTGATTCTTTTAGCTTTTAATTCTCAAGTCCAAAGTCTCACAACCACATTAAACAAGTCAACATATGCAAACTAAAAAGTAATATCCACATTGCCAGAGGGCGGATACTGTGTGGTATGCGGAGTGGATGAATATCAAAACAAAGTGGGACAGACGGAATGTTTAGTATGTGGGGACGGCTACACAACTGATAGTAAAACGGGTCGTTCCAGCTGCGATGAGGATGGGTCTGGTATTATTGACGAAATCGGTGAAGGTGAGTTTAAATAGTTGAAATAGTAAATTCGATATTTTAATGTGTAAGATTTTATTGATAATTTTTCGGGCGATGGATATCTCATGCTATTAAAATAACTAAGAGTTTCTGCTGGGAAATTCAATACGAATAAATCTTAATAACTATCTTACAGCCGCTAAAGGATTGAGTACAGTAACAGTAGCAGTGATAGCAGTGGTAGCAGCTTTACTTGTAGTTGTTATTATAACCGTGACTGTGTGTGTTGTCAAGAATAAGGGCAACAAAGTCGGCAAGGTAAGTCGAAAATAGTTGGATAGTTTTTCACAAACACTGACAGTTCTTGAGCTTTTATACTCAGTTTGACGTTTTAACTCTACACTGAAAACTTAACGTCTAACTCTATAACGAAAGATCCTGTTTCAACTTTATAAACTGAACTCCAGTTCTATTTTTACACCAGATTTATAAACTCACTTTCTCTAACACCTTCTACAACACCTTCCCTAACACTTTCTCTCTAACACCTCCTATTTCACAGCTCCAAAATAGGGTATCACCCACCCCTGAAGCAGGTAGAGATAACCATGGCTACTTGAATAGCAGAACGAGCGTGCAGCATTCTTAGTAGAACTAAACTATGATTTAGTATGAATAGTCCCTGAACTAGAACTTGTATGAATAGTCCCTGAACTAGAACTTGTATGAATAGTGGACATGAGAAAAGCCGTTTTTTAGTAATTTGCAAACGTTGAATGTAGAAACTGTAAAATTGGCTCATCGGACTGAAGATTTATTTTCAGAATGTACGTACTGAAAGTATTACCATTGGCATTACCAATGCAAGTGTGAAAATTCATATATTATATTAAGATAAACATATTTTCATCTCAAAGATTATCACGAAGTAACTTAATTATGTGAATTTTTCTGTTAACTATTTGAATTTAATGATCAGTCGAACGTTTGCAGACTTGAACTCTGGTCATTTTGAACGTAATCGATGAGATTTTATGTTATTTGGTTCCATGAGATAAAATAATTTCATCGAATACAATGAAGAGTTAAAACTGATCAAAGTGTCTAGAGCTTACTATAATAGATGTGGATACAATTTGAATTATAAATAACTCGTGAATCGATTTTTGTACTTGGTCATAAAACAATCAGTCGTAATTATAATTAATTATTGGGTTTTAGGTGTTGTTTTGCTATTTTGAGTTTGCACTTTGCAGAACTGTACAAAATGTAAAAAATGTAAAAATATTATTTTATCCAATCGTGATTCAGACGAAATGATTCAGACGAAAATATGTTCATTCGAAATTGCTATTTTGAATTTGTTCAATCGAAAATATTTTATAGTATATAATGCTCTAAGTATTTATTTTCATATCTGAATTTAAAGTTTTTAACAACCAAGTGACCCCTTAAGGATATAAATTTACCACTTTAAGTTGTCAATTATACTTTGCTAATCTACTGATATATTGTACAGTGAATAATCGACTTTTAGATGGTATTTTTTCGAAAATCAACGATTATCTTTTATTCATTTAGAATCGAGCTTAAAATCCACGAGCATACAGAAATTGGGCCATAGATTGCATAATTGAGGCCTCAAATTAATTAAATGAAAATTATGATATCAGTTCTAACACGAATGCGGCAAAATACTACAATATTTGCAAGCGTCATTTTATCAGCAGACTCTAACTGATTGAAGCAACGTTTCGTCTATTTACCATTACCAATCACTTAGAAATAATTCAAAAAGGAATGTCATCTGTTTTTATGGGAATGAAAATTGTATGCTGTATAAAATAGCTGATATCAAACTTTCAGCCATATGTCAAATTTTGGTCCTGAAATTTTCATCTTCAAAAACTGAAAATGGGATAAAGAATGGGAAAATATGATTTTTCAATTTACTTCGCGATTTTGACTTCCAGTACCTCAATTTGGTTTCATAACAACATCAATTAACTGACTAATTGGTCTTTGGGCAAAAATTCTATCCAATCAGTCAAATTTGTGTTAAGAAATTTTCATATTTGAAAATGGGACAGACATTGGAAAATATGGATTTTCGTTTTGTTAAGATTTCTCCTGTGAGCTTCCTCCGGCCGATATCAAACTTCCAGCACCTCAATCGTGTCATATACCATCTATAGTTGACTGACTAATTGGTTGCAGGTGAGAAATTAAGTCAAAACAGTAAAATTTCGGTCCTGGAAATTTCATCTTCAAAAACTGAAAATGGGACAAAGAATGGGACAATACGATTTTTCAATTTTCTTCGCGATTTTGACTTCCAGTACCTCAATTTGTTTTCATAACATCATCAATTAACTGACTAATTAGTCTTTGGGCAGAAAATCCATCCAATCGGTCAAATTTGTGTTCAGAAATTTTCATATTTAAAAATGGGACAGACATTGGAAAATATGGATTTTCGTTTTGTTAAGATTTCTCCTGTGAGCTTCCTCCGGCCGATATCAAACTTTCAGCACCTCAATCGTGTCATACGCCATCTATAGTTGACTGACTAATTAGTTACAGGTGATAAATTTAGTTAAACCTGTAAAATTTCGGTCCTGGAAATTTCATCTTCAAAAACTGAAAATGGGACAAAGAATGGGACAATTATATGATTTTTCAATTTACTTCGCGATTTTGACTTCCAGTACCTAAATTCGGTTTCATAACATCATCAATTAACTGACTAATTGGTCTTTGGGCAAAACTTCTATCCAATCAGTCAAATTTGTGTTTAGAAATTTTCATATTTGAAAATGGGACAGACATTGGAAAATATGGATTTTCGTTTTGTTAAGATTTCTCCTGTGAGCTTCCTCCGGCCGATATCAAACTTCCAGCACCTCAATCGTGTCATACGCCATCTATAGTTGACTGACTAATTGGTTACAGGTGATAAGTTTGGTCAAAACTGTAAAATTTTGGTCCTGGAAATTTCATCTTCAAAAAGTGAAAATGGGACAAAGAATGGGACAATATGATTTTTCAATTTTCTTCGCGATTTTGACTTCCAGTACCTCAATTAAGTTTTCATAACATCATCAATTATCTGACTTATTGGTATTTGGGCAAAAATTCCATCCAATCAGTCAAATTTGTGTTCAGAAATTTTCATATTTGAAAATGGGACAGACATTGGAAAATATGGATTTTCGTTTTGTTAAGATTTCTCCTGTGAGCTTCCTCCGGCCGATATCAAACTCATCACCTCAATCGTGTCATATGCCATCTATAGTTGACTGACTAATTGATTACAGGTGATAAATTTAGTTAAAACTGTAAAATTTCGGTCCTGGAAATTTCATCTTCAAAAACTGAAAATGGGACAAAGAATGGGACAATATGATTTTTCAATTTACTTCGCGATTTTGACTTCCAGTACCTCAATTTGGTTTCATAACATCATCAATTAACTGACTAATTGGTCTTTGGGCGAAAATTCTATCCAATCAGTCAAATTTGTGTTCAGAAATTTTCATATTTGAAAATGGGACAGAAATTGGAAAATATGGATTTTCGTTTTGTTAAGATTTCTCCTGTGAGCTTCCTCCGGCCGAAATCAAACTTCCAGCACCTCAATCGTGTCATATGCCATCTATAGTTGACTGACTAATTGGTTACAGGTGATAAATTTAGTCAAAACTGTAAAATTTCGGTCCTGGAAATTTTATCTTCAAAAACTGAAAATGGGACAAAGAATGGGACAATATGATTTTCCAATTTACTTCGCGATTTTGACTTCCAGTACCTCAATTTAGTTTCATAACATCATCAATTAACTGACTAATTGGTCTTTGGACAAAACTTCTATCCAATCAGTCAAATTTGTGTTCAGAAATTTTCATATTTGAAAATGGGACAGACATTGGAAAATATGGATTTTCGTTTTGTTAAGATTTCTCCTGTGACCTTCCTCCAGCCGATATCAAACTTTCAGCACCTCAATCGTGTCATATGCCATCTATAGTTGACTGACTAATTGATTACAAGTGATAAATTTAGTTAAAACTGTAAAATTTCGGTCCTGGAAATTTCATCTTCAAAAACTGAAAATGGGACAAAGAATGGGACAATATGATTTTTTAATTTACTTCAAGATTTTGACTTCCAGTACCTCAATTTGGTTTCATAACATCATCAATTAACTGACTAATTGGTCTTTGGGCGAAAATTCTATCCAATCAGTCAAATTTGTGTTCAGAAATTTTCATATTTGAAAATGGGACAGACATTGGAAAATATGGATTTTTTTTTGTTAAGATTTCTCCTGTGACCTTCCTCCAGCCGATATCAAACTTCCAGCACCTCAATCGTGTCATATACCATCTATAGCTGACTGACTAATTGGTTGCAGGTGATAAATTTAGTCAAAACTGTAAAATTTCGGTCCTGGAAATTTCATCTTCAAAAACTGAAAATGGGACAAAGAATGGGACAATATGATTTTTCAATTTTCTTCGCGATTTTGACTTCCAGTACCTCAATTTGGTTTCATAACATCATCAATTAACTGACTATAATTGGTCTTTGGGCAGAAAATCTATCCAATCGGTCAAATTTGTGTTCAGAAATTTTCATATTTGAAAATGGGACAGACATTGGAAAATATGGATTTTTGTTTTGTTAAGATTTCTCCTGTGAGCTTCCTCCGGCCGATATCAAACTTTCAGCACCTCAATCGTGTCATATACCATCTATTGTTGACTGACTAATTGGTTGCAGGTGATAAATTCAGTCAAAACTGTAAAATTTCTGTCCTGGAAATTTCATCTTCAAAAACTGAAAATGGGACAAAGAATGGGACAATATATGATTTTTCAATTTACTTCGCGATTTTGACTTCCAGTACCTAAATTCGGTTTCATAACATCATCAATTAACTGACTAATTGGTATTTGGGCAAAAATTCATCCAATCAGTCAAATTTGTGTTCAGAAATTTTCATATTTGAAAATGGGACAGACATTGGAAAATATGGATTTTCGTTTTGTTAAGATTTCTCCTGTGAGCTTCCTCCGGCCGATATCAAACTTCCAGCACCTCAATCGTGTCATATGCCATCTATAGTTGACTGACTAATTGGTTACAGGTGATAAATTTGGTCAAAACTGTAAAATTTTGGTCCTGGAAATTTCATCTTCAAAAAGTGAAAATGGGACAAAGAATGGGAAAATATGATTTTTCAATTTACTTCGTGATTTTGACTTCCAGTACCTCAATTTAGTTTCATAACATCATCAATTAACTGACTACTTGGTATTTGGGCAAAAATTTCATCCAATCAGTCAAATTTGTGTTCAGAAATTTTCATATTTGAAAATGGGACAGACATTGGAAAATATGGATTTTCGTTTTGTTAAGATTTCTCCTGTGACCTTCCCCCAGCCGATATCGAACTTCCACCACCTCAGTCGTGTCAAATGCCATCTATAATTGACTGACTAATTGGTTACAGGTGATAAAGTTGGTAAAAACTGTAAAATTTTGGTCCTGGAAATTTCATCTTCAAAAAGTGAAAATGGGACAAAGAATGGGACAATATGATTTTTCAATTTTCTTCGCGATTTTGACTTCCAGTACCTCAATTTGTGTTCATAATTACATCATCAATTAACTGACTAATTGGTATTTGGGCAAAAATTTCATCCAATCAGTCAAATTTGTGTTCAGAAATTTTCATATTTGAAAATGGGACAGACATTGGAAAATATGGATTTTCGTTTTGTTAAGATTTCTCCTGTGAGCTTCCTCCGGCCGATATCAAACTTCCAGCACCTCAATCGTGTCATATGCCATCTATAGTTGACTGACTAATTGGTTACAGGTGATAAATTTGGTCAAAACTGTAAAATTTTTGTCCTGGAAATTTCATCTTCAAAAAGTGAAAATGGGACAAAGAATGGGACAATATGATTTTTCAATTTTCTTCGCGATTTTGACTTCCAGTACCTCAATTAAGTTTTCATAACATCATCAATTATCTGACTAATTGGTATTGGGGCAAAAATTCATCCAATCAGTCAAATTTGTGTTCAGAAATTTTCATATTTGAAAATGGGACAGACATTGGAAAATATGGATTTTCGTTTTGTTAAGATTTCTCCTGTGAGCTTCCTCCGGCCGATATCAAACTTCCAGCACCTCAATCGTGTCATATGCCATCTATAGTTGACTGACTAATTGGTTACAGGTGATAAATTTGGTCAAAACTGTAAAATTTTGGTCCTGGAAATTTCATCTTCAAAAAGTGAAAATGGGACAAAGAATGGGACAATATGATTTTTCAATTTTCTTCGCGATTTTGACTTCCAGTACCTCAATTTAGTTTCATAACATCATCAATTAACTGACTAATTGGTATTGGGGCAAAAATTCCATCCAATCAGTCAAATTTGTGTTCAGAAATTTTCATATTTGAAAATGGGACAGACATTGGAAAATATGGATTTTCGTTTTGTTAA